TTGAAATAACCTTTACAATTTAAACTACAGACAATAAAATTATGGACTGCGAAATTTTAGGTAAACCAGTCATAGTGGAAGGAAAAAAATGGATATAATGGAAGATCGAATCCCAGACCCTTTAGACGCAAACTATCACACTGGCACTGAATCATGGCCTACTATTGCATAATAAAAATTATAATATGTAGTAATAAACAAAATCAAGGCAAATTCATAGACCACAAATGCAGGAGTATGTTATTTTATAAAATCATATAGCACGTACTACACAAAATTTTGAGATGACCTCGTCAAATTGTTGCAGGGGATGATTTCGATTAATGTTTTACCATCTCCACGATATTCCTATGATGCATCTAAAATTTGAAAACAATCAGTGTGGTAGTTTCTATTTAATAAAAATCAGCACAGACGGCAGACAGATGATAGACAGGCGATTGACAAGCGGAAACGCGAGACCTACATTTTTATATTCTTCACCACTTCCCTGCCTTATTGTATCTATTATTTATAGATAAAAATTGATTTTTATTTTGACTACCAGAAAAATCTAAAATTAAAAAAAAGTAGCCCCGCCCACCCCCCTCTTTTTGGTTTTGAACACTATTTTCATCGTTCTGAGACGAAAAGTGAATTTTTTGTCACAATTTTGACCAACATTTTCACATTTTAAAAAGACTGTTTCAACAAAATTAAAAAAAAAGGAAATTAAATAGGTTACTGATTCAGAAAATAATTTCGGAAAATAAAATATTAATATTCTATTAAAACTGAGGTTCCTTGTTAACATCAACTACGAAATTGCAGATTTTTTGCTAGAAAATTATTGCCAAAGTAATATTGAAAAAAGCAACGTATATATAGGATGAGCAGTCAATTAGACGACAAGCGCGACATCACCTGGAAACCCGTATTACACTATATTAAAAGGATTTGAACCATATAAACTTTTTAATTTAATTCTATCTTTTAATTTGTTTAATTGATATTTGTGTCAACTGAAGAATTTATTGGGAGAACTTACCTGACTTACCCTGACTTGATTTGACGTGATCTAAGCTGGCTTGACATAACCTATTTTTTTTAAATCTTATATTCCACAGCTTATCAAAACAGAATTCATTTCCCATTTTACCGTAAATAAAGTAAGTCAGTGAAATGGAGGAAGAAAGTGGGCGGAGTAGCTTTGTTCACCCATCCCTCTTCATTCTGCTGACTACTCCTAATATTGTTCAGTCTTATCTTAGCAAATACTAGCCCCGCCCACCCGCCCTCTAGTTTCTTAGGGTGTAGATCATTTGCCAAAATTAGTCTTACCTTAGCAAGAATTAGCCCGCCCCCCCGCCCTTTATTTTCTCAGTAGGTATGTGATTTGCCAAAATCAGTCTTATCGTAGCAGGTACTAGCCCCGCCCACCCGCGTGTTGTTCTCATTCTAACGATTTTATTTCTGTTCAATATAAGATCCACCTTTCATTCAGACCAGATGAAATAAATTACTGAAATGGAGGAGGGGCGGGTGGGCGGGGTTAAGTTTAACTTTTCCACATTTGACTTTGCTTTAAATCGTAAATTCTACCGCTTGTCGAAATAAAATTCACTACCATTTTACAGTAAATAAAAAAAGTCAGTGAAATGGAGAAAGGAGGTGGACGGGAATGAGTTTACCTTTTTTTTACAAAGTCTTATTAGCCCCGCCCACCCGCCCTCTTTTTTCTTACAAGGTATCTCATTTGCCAAAATCAGTTTTATCCTAGCAAATACTAGCCCCGCCCACCCGCCCGCTAGTTTCTTAGGGGATATATCATTTGCCAAATTCAGCCTTATCTTAGCAAGAACTAGCCCCGCCCGCCCACCCTTTGTTTTCTCAGAAGGTATACCATTAGGCAAAATCAGTCTTATCTTAGAAGGTACTGGCCCCGCCCACCCGCCCTTATTTTCTTATAGAATGTCATTTGCCAAAATCTGTCTTATCTTAGCTAGTACTGGGTAAGATAAAACTGATTTTGGCAACTGACATACCCTTTAAGAAAATAGGGGACGGGTGGGCGGGGCTACAACTTGATAAGATAACAGTGATTTTGGCAAATGACAGATCCTCCAAGAAAATAGAGGGCGGGTGGGCGGGGCTAGTACTTGATAAGATAAGACTGATTTTGGCAAATCACATACCTTCCAAGAAAAGAGAGGGTGGGTGGGCGGGGCTAGTACTTGATAAGATAAGACTGATTTTGGCAAATCACATACCTTCCAAGAAAAGAGAGGGTGGGTGGGCGGGGCTACTACCTGCTATGATGAGAGTGATTTTGGCAAATGAGATACCTTGTAAGACAAGAAAGGGCGGGTGGGCGGGTCTAGTACTTGGTAAGATAAGACTGATTTTAGCAAATGGCATACCCTCTAAGAAAATAAAGGGCGGGTGGGCGGGGCTAGTACTTGCTAAGATAAGACCGATTTGAGCAAATGGCAAACCCTCTAAGAAAATAGAGGGCGTATGGGCGGGGTTAGTATACCTGCTAAAAAAGACCGATTTTGACAAATTTCTGCAACTTTTGATTACAATTTTTCTAGTTTTCATTTCAAATAATTATAATTTAGAAAATTGTTCACTTTTTCAATTTTAGAATCTTGCCCTCTATTTTCTTAGGTTTGTCATTTGAAAAAATCGGTCTTATTTTAGTAGGTACTAGCCCCGCCTACCCCCCTCTCTTTTCTTAGAGGGTATCTCACTTACCAAAATCACTCTTATCTGAGCAGGTGGTAGCCCCACCCACCCACCCTCTCTTTTCTTGGAAGGTATGTCATTTGCCAAAATCAGTCTACTCTTAGCAAGTGCTGAATAAGACAAAAGTAATTTGGGCAGATGACATAGTCTCTAAGAAAAGAGAGGGTGGGTGGGCGGGCTAGTACTTGATAAGATAAAACTGATTTTGGCAGATGACATAGTCTCTAAGAAAAGAGAGGGCGGGTGGGCGGGCTAGTACTTGATAAGATAAGACTGATTTTGGTAAATGACAGATCCTGCAAGAAAACAGAGGGCAAGATCCTAAAATTGTAAAAGTGAAAATTTTTTTAAGATGTAACTATTGGTTACACATTTGAAATGAAAACTAGAAAAATTGTAATTCAAAAGTTAAAGAAACGAAAAATTATAAAATAAAATATGAACATTGAAAAAAAAAGAAAATAGAAAAACAGAAAAAAAAATTTCGAAAATAGTTTAAAAGTGGTCGAACATGTCAAAAGCGCCAAAATCAGTCTTATCTTAGAAAGTACTAGCCCCGCCCACCCGCGTTGATCTCATTCTAACGACTTTATTTCTGTTCAGTATAATCCACTTTTCATTAACACCAGATAAAATAATTCACTGAAAGAGAGGAGAGGTGGGTGGGCGGGATTAAATATATTACATATATTAATAATTCTGTCGGCTGGGAATAAGAACCAATAGAACCTAGGTTGTTAAAAAAAACTCGAATCGTGATTTTCTGTTATTCTACTTGCTATAAGATTTATTTTTCATTTCAGAAGAAAAAATGCAAAAACGTGTGGGTGGATGGGTGCAGCTAAGTTTAACTTTTCCTACAGAGTCTGAATTTTTGGAATTTTTGAAATTCGTTAGGTCTGGCGCAATTGTTTGGAATTTCCAGAATTTCTAATAAATTACATACTACTAAATTTACTCATCGTTTTACCCAATTGTTTAAAATTTTGATATTATATCTACTATTGATAAATGAAAATTGAATTTTATTTTGACAAAAAACAAATTCGAAAATTAAAAAAAACTTAAAGTAGCACCACCCACCCACCCCTTTTCCATTTTGATCACTATTTCCTTGTCTCTGAGATGGAAAGTGAAAATTATTTTTTTTTTTGTCACAATTTTGGATTCTATTCGACGCGCAAAATAATAATAAAAGAAATGAAATGAAATTGTTTTTGAAATATAATATAGGTAGAAAATAAGTTCGCAAAATAGAATTTTAGTAAGGAACTGCAAAATTGGAGATTTTTGCGACAAAATTATTGCCAAAGTAGTTTTGGAAGAACAAGCATGACATCACCTGGAAACTTTGTATTACGCTATATTACCACCATTTAATTACCTTACCACAGATTAATAATAATGAAAACATGGATTATAGTTATTTCTGTTTTTGTAAAAATATAATTTGATGAGAAATCAAAAAAGTTCTCAGAACCCGGGGGCAGAGGTTATTTCGTGACAACCGCACCGCGCCGACGTCTAAAGAAAGGAATTAGTCTTCGACCGTGAAAGAATGGACTCCGAAGTTTATATTTTTAAAATCAGCGTCATAAATTCGATAACTTGATCAACCCATTTTCATTCAAGCCATTAACGAGATAAATTTAAGCAGATTTTGGACAAAAACAAAAATGTGGCCATTAGAACCAATAACTCTTCAAACAAAATCAGCGGTCGATCTCTAAAACTGACAATCTGAACCACTTCTTTGTTAATAAGGCAATTTAAAATCGCGTTGAACAGGTCCATGTTGCACACCAAAAATCCAACTTTTTGCAGTTCTTTAACACAAGAGAAAACAAAAAACTAAAATCGGCTTCGCGACATTTAAACTGATTTAAAAAAGTTTTACCCCTTCCAAAAATCTGATGACGTCACTTCAACTAATTATTACCTTTGCTTCGACTGCACGTCTCGAAATGCCACCGCAACCACAAAAGAGCGAAAATAAACTCTGTAATAAAACCTTCACACGCGTTAGATAACTCGCTTCACCTCTCAAGAATATTCCTCGCACATGCATCGTAAATCTGGCGCTCCCAGAACCCAAAATCCAGCACCATTTGTCCAGCTCTCAGCCCCCGACAATTTGTATGTAAAACATGTTCCGTCCATGTCTTGACCACGTTGCCGGCTCGGCCAGTGGCGTGCATTGGAAAGCAATAATATCGCTAGACAGACCGAGGAAAGAGCTATCAGCAGGATCTCAAGCGGGGGGTCCTGCAACAGCAGGTATAAAGTAGGCAGGCCTCCTGCGGAAAGACAGTCATACATACTTTAGTGCACAAAGATGAAGTCCTTCGCGTGTTTATTGGTGCTCGGTGCACTCACCCACTCTGGTACGTACTAGTGCACTTTTACGAATTTTTGGATTATCTTAGTGCGGCACAGTGGAATTCTCAGACAGTGAAGCGGCTAGAAATTTCGACAATTTGAAAGTGATTTACAAAAGTTTTTTTGGTGGAGTAAATATTTCGCGAAAATTCGTATTATTTTTTTACTTTCAAATGAGAAATTTCTAACGTTGCATGATTTAGAGTGCACTTGTGACACTTATTGTTGTAGAAATTTCTTGAGACAGATGGTCAAGCTTAAACAATACAGGTGGTCAGAGTGAAAATCGTTTTTTAGAATTTTTATGATAATAAATCAACAGCCATAAATGCACTCGTCTGTCTACAGCGTGAAATAACCGAGCAAGTAGGTTGTGAAATTTATTGTGAGTGGATTTATTTACAATCTGGTCAATAATGAGGCTTAATTCGCCCATTAACCACTTTTTACTTTAACGAGCACTCACAAAGCGCAATTATCACATTGCAGCCACTCAATACTTTTTTTAAATTTAACAAGACCTTACATAACGCGGAATCTTACATAAATAAATGATAATAATAAACTAGGATGCACCCACTTTTCGTGCCCATAATTCAAGTGCGTAATGAAGGTAACGACATTTCATGATCAGGAAATGTTGAATACTTTTACAAAATAAAAACGGTACCAGTCAACCTTCAACTACCACGACGACCGTTTTGCAATAAATTTCTGCATAAGATTATTATTGTTCTCGATAAATAATGCAACGCGGCGTCGTTGCATTTTTCGCTAAATTATATCGAATTCTCGCTTCAAAAAATTAACCACTAGATAAATTATTTATCAACTTTCAATTGCATTGGATGTAGGTTAAAGAGACGCTGAAGGCAGCTACAGTTTCAAGTTTATTATTTCCACTTGATCGACTGCAAAAATCCCGTCACTCGAGAGATATGGTTTAGAAACCGTGATCGTCAACATGTGCAACAAAAAAGAAACTTTTTTGGGATAAAAGCAATTTTAATTTGGTTATAAAGTGACCACATCACTTTCATTACTTTCGATTTACATCAAAGAAAAGCGAATTCTGGTTTTTGCGAAGATTAAATAGAAAACTCGAGATTATTCGACGGTTTTGCCATAAATAAACGCAAAAAACGCTAATTGTTATTAATAAGCAGTAAATGTGTCAATGCTGTGCTCAGCATCCGGATAATTACAGATTAAAGAAAACGCGGCGTTTTGAAATTACCATTTTTACGTGAGGAAAATGGTCAGAGCTATTAGACTAATGGCTGTTTACGGATTCTATTACTCGCTAAAATTTCGTTGAGATAGCGAAACATCCAATTAAATTTTTTCGCGCGACGTAAACTCGTCGAAACAAATTAAGGATCGCGCAATTTTCATATTAATGAAAAATCTCGGTATGTGGGTGCGAATTAAAAAAAACATAAATAGTTGTTTGTCGAGTTTATTAACACATAACACAGACAGTTTTTGCAATCAATCTGTTTTTCCAATTTAAATAAATGTCGGAATGTGTCTCAATATTTCTTGAGTAAAACATGACCAGTAATGTCAAGGACCCCGTTAGAAATGACATTTACAAAATTAGGGACATTAAAATTCAAGATTACACAAATAAATTCCAGTGCATCTGATTCATCACTTGAACTTCATGCGATTTGTAACTAGATTTAGTAACTTTTATGTTGTACTTCTGTCAACTTAGAAAATTTTGAAAACACTGAAAAACCAACTAATAATAGTAAAACTTTCACTACACTCGAAACGACGTGACACGATTTTATAAAATATAGAGCCGAAAAACAAATGACAGACACAACGTCAAAGTTGCTAAAAACCGGTTTACTGAAACTAAAATTTACACAAAACCTCGTAAATTCGTCCAAAAAAACTTGTAACACCTCGTAAATTAGATTATGTCAGTTATTATATGACCAGTGTAATAAATGGCCACACATACACTGGCCATTTATTCCACTTCCTACACTTACGTCGCGTGCCTACTTGATTTTTCCACGTCGCCTTTTTTGCACTTACGTCATTTCGGTCGGGTCATACCAAGCAATTAAACACGATTCGTGAATTTATTATTCTTACGTAAACTATATCGAGTAGGCCGTGTAAATAATGAACGGACTATACTTTCTATGAAAAGAGGGTCCATAACTCATAGTAATTTAATTATTTGCTTAATCCGTCGCCACGTTTAAAATGTATCTCACCTACAATTGCGTCATGCACTTTCACAATACCGCGCTTGCATTAGACAAAGACACACTGACTCAGTTTAAGAATAATTAAAATGATTACGTTTTATCTGAATCCAGCATTGTTCGAATCTCGCCGCTATAAAATCTGACCAAAATGCTCAACTCTGTTTACAACACATATGGCACACTTACTCTTAAGCATGCATAATCAAATAACAAATTATATAATAGTGTCATAACAAACAGTGTCGATACAACAAATTCCGAACTTTCTCTCGTGTGCCGTATTATAAAATTCGACAAAGTATTTACGTTTTTCGGTGGAACGTGACCTTCAAAAAAAAGCTAGAAAGCAACTATCACTCGCAATTTAGATTCATTGGAGCGACTAATGCGAGCACTGCGTAAACGGAAAAATGTGTGAAGCGACCTTAACCTTTACCGCTCGCTTGGAATAAGTGGGTAGAAAGCGCGATGATGGACGCAGCTAATTTCGGTCAAACGCTACCGCGAATCCACCTGTCGCTTATGTTGGTCAAAAACAAACATCCCTGAAACACTTGTCGCGCTTGGAATGACAGCTCAACTGTCAACTTTGACGTTCGCGGATCTTCTTCACCACGCTGCATTCACGCTGTGGGTGCGGTTATTTGCATGCAGGTGAAAGACCCCTTAGTGGAACACTTTTCAAATTCGCTTTTAGTCCACGTCTGACAAAAAACCGGCATTGCTTTCGATCGTTGTTCCATGGCGCAATAAGCTGCTCATATTACCTTTCCTCAACTGCAATTACAGGATTCCACTTTCCATTTTTTATTGCGTATGCGTAAGAACACGAACCGAAATGTCGATAGGTTACCAAAATGTCACCAGGCCCGTTTCACACCACAAAGCCCAAAAATTCGACTTATTCGATTACTTTCGAACGCTAAATGACCCGCTTTTGCAGCTCTTGGTCAAGAGAACTTCAAATGTCCGGACGACTTCGGATTCTACCCACATCACACCTCCTGCGACAAGTACTGGAAGTGCGACAATAACGTCGCTGAGTTGAAGACGTGCGGTAATGGGTTGGCTTTCGACGCCAGCGACCCCAAATTCCTGACTGAGAACTGTGATTACATCCACAATGTGGAGTGCGGGGATAGGACGCAGCTGGGTGAGTGCGACAGAGACGGAAAACGTGGGCCGCAATAACAATGTGTTTACAGAGCCACCAATTTCCTCGCCCCATTGCGAACGCCTCTACGGAATTTTCGCCGATGAGAGCAAATGCGACGTGTTTTGGAACTGCTGGAACGGGGAAGCGTCCAGGTACCAGTGCTCCCCCGGGCTGGCCTACGACCGCGAAGCGCGCGTCTGCATGTGGGCCGATCAAGTTCCGGAATGTAAAAATGATGGTAAGAAAAAAGACAAGTTGAAGGTCATTTGATGCCAACTGTTCGTCACGGCCATCTCTGGGCCAAAATCTTTTCGACTGTGAATATGTGCTTGACTCGGCACCAATGTTAGAGAAAGTACAACAAACGTGCAAAAATGCGCGGTTTAACCGATAAATAAAACAAAAAGTTGATCTTGCATGGAAAAAGTTTCAAGACTTTAATTACTAATGACAAATAAAAACTGATTGCTTTCTATTTTTTAAGTCGCTTCGATTGAAACCGCAATTTTTATTAGACGTTCCAAAATAGCAAAAATCTCGTTATCTGTTCAGTTTTTTAAGTTTTAATTTTTTAAATAATTGTGAATGAATAGACTTTTTGCACGACTAAGATGGCCGCCATTCAGTGGAACAATCGAGTGAAAAACATTGGAATATTTGTACGCATTCAAATTTAAGTTGGCAACAATGACTCTTTTAAATTAAACACCACATTCCATTGGTGGATTTAGTCTTAATTAATTTTGACTAATTTGGTGCTGTCTAATTTAAAGTTTTTTATTAAAATAAGCTAAATTAATATAAATTATTGTCTGCATTGCAATAATTGCACGCACATTATTTTTAGGAAAAATAAAATTAACAAAAATATACCTATAATTAAAATTAATTAAATATAAAAAGTACCTCTGGGTACAGATTTTAAAAAATAGTTTAAAGTAAAAAAAGTGACAAGTGAATCCAAAAAATAATTTTGACATCTCAGTACAAAAAAGTGACGTAAACGATCAAATTTGTAACAGTCGCCTACATTTTATTAAATGGCTTAGTTTTTTTAATTTTAAAAGGGATTTTTTTGTTTTTTGGTGTTTTTTCCGTCAAGGTTATCTTAAAAATCTCAAAAATTTTAAAATTTGCAGTAGTGCCATCTTTAGGGTTAAACTGGACTACTTGAACGACAATGTACACTTCAAGATGTTATCATAACCTCAAAATTTTGAGTACAGACTAGTACAAATAATTTTGTATGTTGATATATTTTACGGTACGATTTTATATTTATATTTTATGCTGCAGTTGTAAGTATGGAATTGACAATGTTATTCATTTGTGCAATTTTTAAAAATTTATTTATTTCTAAAATTCGAAAAAAAAACAATGTTGACAAAACTATGAAAATTGCTATATTTCAAAACTAAAACGACTTCTGGATATCGAAATCTACAAGAAAATATTTTGGCTAATTTTCGAAAATAGTTGAAACGTCGTCGAATATGTAAAAAGTGCCAAAATCAGTTCTATCTTATCAAAAACTAGCCCCGCCCACCCACCCGTATTTTCTTACAAGGTATGTGATTTGCCAAAATCAGCCTTATCTTAGCAAGTACTAGCCCCGCCCACCCGCCCGTTATTTTCTTATAGAATGTCATCTGCCAAAATCTGTCTTATCTTAGCTAGTACTGGGTAAGATAAGACTGATTGTGGCAGATGACATTCCCTCTAAGAAAAGAGACGGCGGGTGGGCGGGGCTAGTACTTGATAAGATAAGACTGATTTTGGCAAATAACATAACCTCTCAGAAAATAGAGGGCGGGTGGGCGGGGTTAGTAATTGGTAAGATAAGACTGATTTTGGCAGATGACATATCCTCTAAGAAAATAGAGGGCAAGATCCTAAAATTGAAAAAGCGAAACATTTTTTAAGTTTAATTATTAGTTCTACATTTCAAATGAAAACTAGAAAAATTGTAATTCAAAAGTTGAAGAAACGAAAAATGAAAAAATCTAAAAGTGGAAAATTAAAAAAATTGAAAAAAAAATTATAAGATATGAACATTGAAAAAAAAGAAAATAAAAATTTTCGAAAATAGTTGAAAAGCAGTTGAACATATCAAAAGTGCCAAAATTAGTCTTATCTTATCAATTATTAGCCCCGCCCACCCACCCTGTAGTTTCTTACAAGGTATGTCATTTGCCAAAATCAGTCTTATCGTAGCTAGTATTGGGTAAGATGAGATTGATTGTGGCAAATGACATACCCTCTGAGAAAAGAGAGGGCGGGTGGGCGGGGCAAGTACTTGATAAGATAAGACTGATTTTGGCAAATAACATATCCCCTAAAAAAAGAGAGGGCGGGTGGGCGGGGCAAGTACTTGGTAAGGCAAGACTGATTTTGGCAAATAACATATCCTCTAAGAAAAGAGAGGGCGGGTGGGCGGGGCAAGTACTTGGTAAGATAAGACTTATTTTGCCAAATAACATACCCTTTAAGAAAATAGAGGGCAAGATCATAAAATTAAAGACGTGAAATAAAAACTAGAAAAACTGTAAGTCAAATTTGAAGAAACGAAAAATGAAAAAATCTAAAAATTTAAAAAATTGAAAAAAAACCTTATAAAATATGAGCATTGAAAAAAAAAGAAAATAAAAAAACAGAAACAAAAATTTTCGAAAATAGTTGAAAAGTGGTCGAACATCAAAAGTGCCAAAATCTGTCTTATCTTAGCTAGTATTGGGTAAGATAAGACTGATTGTGGCAAATGACATACCCTTTGAAAAAAGAGAGGGCGGGTGGGCGGGGCAAGTACTTGGTAAGATAAGACTGATTTTGGCAAATAACATATCTCCCAAAAAAAGAGAGGGCGGGTGGGCGGGGCAAGTACTTGGTAAGATAAGAGTAATTTTGGCAAATAACATATCCTCTAAGAAAAGAGAGGGTGGGTGGGCGGGGTAAATACTTGGTAAGATAAGACTGCTTTTGGCAAATAACATATCTCCTAAAAAAAGAGAGGGCGGGTGGGCGGGGCAAGTACTTGGTAAGATAAGAGTAATTTTGGCAAATAACATATCCTCTAAGAAAAGAGAGGGTGGGTGGGCGGGGCAAATACTTGGTAAGATAAGACTGATTTTGGCAAATAACATACCCTCTAAGAAAATAAGAGGGCAAAATCATAAAATTGAAGACGTGAAATGAAAACTACAAAAATTGTAATTCAAAATTTGAAGAAACGAAAAATGAAAAAATCTAAAATTTGAAAATTGAAAAAATGTGTAAAATATGGAACATTGAAAAAAAGAAAGAAAATAAAAAACACAAAAATTTTCGAAAATAGTAGAAAAGTGGTTGAACATATCAAAAGTGCCAAAATCAATAACTAGCCCCGCCGACCCACCCTGTATTTTCTTATAAAATGTCATTTGCCAAAATCTGTCTTATCTTAGCTAGTATTGGGTAAGATAAGACTGATTGTGGCAAATGACATACTTATACTTTATGAAAATAGAGGGCAAGATCCTAAAATTAAAAAAGTGAACAAATTATTAGTTGTACATTTGAAATGAAAACTAGAAAAATTTTAATTCCAAGTTAAAGAAACGAAAAATGCAAAAATCTAAAAGTTGAAAATTTGAAAAATCATAAAATATGAACATTGAAAAAAAGAAACAAAAATTATCGAAAATAGTTGAAAAGTGGTCGAACATGTCAAAAGTGCCAAAATCAGTCTTATCTTCTCAAAAACTAGCCCCGCCCACCCACCCGTATTTGCTTACAAGGTATGTGATTTGCCAAAATCAGTCTTATCTTATCAAGTACTAACCCCGCCCACCCGCCCTTTATTTTCTTATAGAAAGTCATTTGCCCAAAATCTGTCTTACCTTAGCTAGTATTGGGTAAAATAAACACTGATTGTGGCAAATGACATACCCTCTAAAAAAGAGAGGGCGGGTGGGCGGGGCTAGTATTTGGTAAGATAAGACTGATTTTGGCAAATGACATATCTTCTAAGAAAATAGAGAGCAAGATACCAAAATTGAAAATATGAACATTGAAAAAAGAAAGAAAATAAAAAAATCACAAACAAAAATTTTTAAAAATAGTTGAAAAGGTGTCGAACATGTCAAAAGTGCCAAAACCAGTCTTATCTTAGCTAGTTATTTATTTAATTTGTATTCTGTGTAAAATTTAAAAATTCCCGCTCTTTCTAACAGGAACTAACATGAAACACCTGATAAAGGCATTTAAACAAAAATGTATTAAAACAAACCGTTTTTTTCGCCAGCCGTCTTAAAAGATGTCACTTTTAACGTCAATTTTGGACGGAAAACTTGACGTTTTTGTGAGAGTAAAAAAAAGTTGCGTTACTAAAGTAACAACGTCATTTTTGCCTTTTTAATCCTAGCATTAATTTTTTTTTTTAATCCTAGCCTTAAAAAGTTAAAATTTTTTTGAGATTTACTTTTTGGCTGGCGAAAAAGTAGTATGTTTCATTCGGATTAAAAGTCAGTTTTTGACTCGCAATTTTGCATCCGCTCGGCTTCGCTTCGCTCCGCCTCGCAAATGCAAAATTTGCTCGTCGCAAAAAATGGCACTTTTAATCCTAATAAAACAATCTACTATTTTACTCACTAAATTCTCTACCTGTTGCTTGTATCACATCTGGAAATTTGATTTTCCCCACATTTTAAATTTGGCGCCACGAAAACCACCAATCCAGTGTGGTGCTTGAGTTAAAAAATTCATTGTTGCCAACCTAAATTTCAAATGTTTTTTTTTGTGGTTAATTTTGAACACCGAAAAACCTCCTAATTCTCTTTTCCCTGCAGAAGTAGCTGGAGGCTTCTCCTGCCCCGCCCCCGGAGAAGTGAGCAACTCCGGCACCTTCTCCCGCCACGCCCACCCAGACGACTGCCGCAAATACTACATCTGCCTGGAAGGAGTCCCCAGGGAGTACGGCTGCCCCATCGGTACCGTGTTCAAGATCGGTGACGCCGACGGTACCGGCAACTGCGAAGACCCAGAAGACGTCCAGGGATGGTAAGTCCATGGTTAAAGCACCAAACTAACACGCTCACTCACCTACTCGCTTTTTCTACGCATGCGTATACTGGGTCTCCTTGTACAAATAACCTCGGTTCAAACCCCCAAACAACGTAACTGTACAGTAGTCGGATAGCGTTTGGCTATTGCGGGTCGAATTCATAGCCACGCCTCAGTGGCTATAAATCCGGCCCCGGCTCCTCCCCCGCCGCGTTAAACTCGACTCCTCCCCGCGTCCCGCTTGGCCCCTCCCTCACCCAGCACTAATGCCCGATGGGGGTTCACAGCGAGGACTACTACGGTGACTTGGACTTGAAGAGCATCCGCAAGAGCGAATTGTTGGCTGGCCTCCAGAGCAGCGGATCGTCGAGACAGGCCCCGGGCAAGAGCAAGCCTAGGCCGGCCCCCGCGTCGCGCAACGCCCCAGAACCCGCCGACAATTAATCCATAACCTCATCACCCTAACCTCAATCTAGACAGACCGTCATTCGGTAGACTGAGATACTCACTGTATTATTTAATTAGATAGCGTAACTTAGTGAATCGGGTATCTATTTAACCGATTGACTTTCTGTTCCTATGTTATAATAGCTTAATTTAAAAGTAAATTAATTGTGCGAAATTGATCTGTTCTTGAGACATGTTCTATTCTCTACACGGTACAAAAATACTACATAAATTTTTTTTTATAAATAAAAAAACTGTTTTTTAGCCCCTGGTTTTTATTTCGAGACTCCCCTAGAATTTCACTCTATTGGTCTCTTGGTAAGGAAAGTCTTTACTCACACGACTCTCAGTCTCAATGTTGGTGGCTCAGTACTTACTCAGTCATTGGCTCCAATTTAAACTTACACACTCATTTACTTACTTAACTTAAGTTAGTTTTAGTCAGTGACACACTTTCATTTTATTAACTACTAAATGGCTAAGGTTTCCAGTTGTACAGAAACAACGTCTCTGTGTTACTCATCCACTTACTTTCAAAGATCATAAGGTGAAGCGGGGTTAACACAATTCTCAATAATATTCAGCTGCATTAAACTGTTACGAAACAAAATCAAAGAATAAAATTTACTTTAATCGACAAAGTGCAATTTTCAGTGTGCCGCTTACTTCTACAATGACATTTATTACATAAGTTGAGGTTAGAACATCACATGACATTTGATTATAATTCATTCATTTTAACAAGGCGGCAAATTTATTACCCACTTCACCTTATCGCAACGCCCCCTGAACTGACGATTGGCCATTTGCAACCAACCGGACGACAAACGAGTGCCCAATTCCCACTGTCACTATTGAGTTGCGACGCCACTAATATCTTTTTTTCTACAGTGAAGACTACTACAAAGATGTAGACTTAAAGGCTCTGAAAAAGTTAGGGTACTAAGCTCGAAGACCCCGTGAGGCCTGTACAGATCATTTAGCTTAAGCGTCATCATTACGTCATCGTTGTGAAGTCCATGAGTGCGAGAGGAAGCAGAATGTTATACATAATGTTGATTTTTTGTTTGATACTGTTTCTGTAAAGTAATAACGAAGTATTATGTACGTAAGTAATTGTAAGGATGAATAAATTATAAGCTGAACGGGTGTTTGATTGAGGGTCGAGAAAAGCGAGTCGTTTTAAAATATCTTTTAATTATAATCAGGTAGGTAATATTTACATCTTTTAAATTAAACTATACAGTAATATCAGGTATGGCATCTTTAATTATTTACAAACAAACAATAACAACAAGTTTATCGTTATTGTGATTAAAAAGAATTAAAACCTGTAACAAAAACGAATAACGGGTACAACAAACTGCGAATGAATTTTAGAGTTGCAATACTTGTGAAATGTTGACAAATGACAGAATTAACAGCCTTTAAAATTATCTTAAATTAGAGCATTTAGTAGTTTTTCTAAACTCATGTTAATTACAAAGATTCAATAAATATTAACATAGCAGAAAAATAAAAAGAACTAAATCAGTCTCCACGTTTTAATTGTGACATTAAAAAATAGGAAACCGAATTGACATTCCGTCGAGGCAATGCTTGATTAGTTTAATCAAAACAATGTCGCTTCGACTCGACGCAACGTCAAACTAGAAATCGTCCACACTCGAAACAGTTCCAGTGTAGACCATTTCTCCAAAGGAACAGACTAACGAGTAATTTTAATAAATATCAGTCCAATAAATTGTTTGCTTTAAATCTTGAAGTCATTTAACGCTAAAATTATAGATGTGATTTTAAAATGATAAATTACTTATAAAATTAATAATACACAGGACCAGCAACCAACATCCTGACGGATTAAAGACTAGTAATGTAAAGTGACTATGTTTCAAAAACACAGCAGAACACACGATAATAAAACCAAAGACGCTTCGTAAATTCGACAGTACTCAAACCAACGTGCACGGTTTAAATTCGGACGAAGGCAGTGATAATTGTTCGCAATTAAAAAAAAAATTGTTACACGAAAGCGATATCAACTTCAAAATATCTTATTTGTTCGAAACATATTTTCGAACGTACCCTTAAATATAAATTTGACACTAATATAAGCTAATGATGTAAAAAAATATATTTCAAGGTTACGCTGAAACGTCAAACTTGACATGCCTTCGCTCCTCTCGTTAAAAGCCATGGCTGTAGAGGTAGATAGGTTAGGGTATAGTACTATTAACAAATTATGCCACCATAGAACTGTCACAGACTAGACAAACAAGTGACAAAATTTGTTAACCTAATCCTGTCATTTTTATTTCGCCACCTGCGATGTTACTTTTTGTTTTGACTTTTTCGTGGCAGTGTCCCGACCAGTGGCGGCTGGTGGGTCAAAATTTCGGGTCGGCCAAATATTTTGAGTCTACACCTTGGTGTTATATATTTTTGTAATGTATGGCTACTATTCATTAACCACTGACATTTTACGTGCCAGGATGTACAAAACATCTCAAATGTTTCGACCTGTTAAAATAATTTTTTATAGGAAATTGACAATGTCAGTTTGATTCCAAATACTATTAATCCTTAATTCTACTTGTTCTGCTTTATCATTAATTGAGAACCACCGAAACATTATTTTTACTGAGTTCCCCGTCGACCGGCGGCTATACGGCTTGCCGACCCCGGACATCCACAATTAAATAATAATAATTAAATAATGACATGCAGTTAAAAAATATAAAAAAAGTAATAATAAAAGTACCAACTGTTAACTATCTTCATTTACATTTATTTTTTTTAATGTATATGACAAATTGTCAAATAAATTAATTGAATAATTGAAAAATTAAAATGATTTAAAACTTTAAATTCGTTTCTGAAATATCTGAAAACGCTTAGATGCTAAAAATACAGAAAAAGCGCATTTATGTTGTAGCTAAGTTATGTACGAAAAATAAAATTTTAGATAATTTAATGTAATTTTTTTCGTTTATTATTCATACACAGAAAAATGTATTAAATCGACAATTATTATTAAAAAAAAATAGTATGCAGTGAAGAACATCGAAGCCGTTATTGTTTTGTAATTTGGTTAGCTATCTTAAATATTAAGCGTTTTAAAAACTAAATTCGCGTTGCTGGGTACGGCGAAGGAGGATTTCGCCGGACCTGGCACAACATACGTTCCGCCAGGTCTTTGTCTACTACAGTGTACTAGACAAAGAGAACGATGAAACCGTAAGCTGCTACGAAGTCGAAACATCGAGCATAATGCATTCCTGGGTACGGCTTGCCGAAATCTCGCCGGCAAAGCGTGTTTATCAGCATTTAAAATTAGCAACAAATGCTTTATTTTGTACCTACAATATAATAAAATATATTTTTAATATATATGGTCTATCCTAACGTACATTCAAACTTTATTTCTTTTTTTATTTTCTAATTTCAACGCTTACTAAGTATTTTAAAATGACTGGTACGGCGTGGCCGACCCTGCCGCCCCTGACCAGCCGCCCCTGGTCCCGACCTACGGATTGTACGACCGCGACAACTGCACCACCGAGATTTTCAAAAATATACAGGGTGCTGTTTTCAAATTGGCTTATGTGGTGTCGCTTCGACTTCTAAACTTGGCCTATGCAGCAATACTAACCTTAATTTTAGTAAATTACATTTATTTATTGACAAAATGTTGATAGTTGGAAGCTTGCTTAATTATTCGGTCGTCGTTCACGTTGATTTGAATATCGTTAACAAAAAATCTCAAGCACCATTAAAATCGAAAAGCTTTAGCTTATTTCTTTACACCCTGCAGCAGCAATACTATAAAGGCAATTAGTTTCCGATTAAAAAATCATAATTGGCGTTTCATTATTATCCAATTTGATGACCTGAATATGGTAAGTACTCACACTAATTTAACCTACAGCTGTTATGACACGTCGTTGTTGTGGAATAAGCGCCTCTGCGGTTCGGGGGTGTAGTGAAACCTCGCTCTCAGGTGTTGCGGAGAGCCAGGCACTGATGTGCTCTCGGAGAGTCGTCGCGGGGGCGGGACAGGCGGCGTTGGCGAGATGTACCTGCGAAATAACCAGTTTTTTAACACTTTTTTCAACTTGAATTTTTCAATTCTTCGAGTTTTCATTTTTTTGTTACTTTGGTTTTTCGAATTGCAATTTTTCAAGTTTTCAAATTTAAATTTTTGAGTTTTTCAATTTTCAGTTGCTTCAGTTTTTAGATTTTGCAATTTTTGGATTTAAAATTTCTCAAGTTTTCAATTTAGTTTTTCATTTTTTAATTTTTCAGTTTTTTGATTCTTTCACATACTTTTCATATCTTCAAATTTTTCGTTTCTTCATTTTTTCAATTAGCAATTTTTCAATTTTTGATTTTTTTGATTCCTCAATTTACTATATGCAACGCCTCGAGTTTTCATTTTTAAATGTTTCGATTTTTCAACTTTTAGTTGCTTCAATTTTTAGATTTATTCAGTTTTAGATTTTTCCGTTTTTTTTTTGTTATTGGACTTTCAAATTTTTTCATCTATTCGACTTTTCAATGTTTCTATTTTTAATTTTTCAATTTTTCGTTTCTCTAAATTTTAGATTTTGCAATTCAATTTTTCGGTTCTTTAATGTACTGATTTTATAATTTTTCTTTTTTTAAATGCTAAATTTTTTTCATTTCTAATCATTTTTAAATTTTCAATTTTACGATTTTAGAATTTTTCCATCCATTCTTTTCAATTTTTCAATTTTCATTTCTTCAAATTTTATATTTCAAATTTTTCGTTTTGATTTTCAATTTTCTTTATTTCTATAATTTTTTTATTTTTGAATGTTTCGATTTTTTGTTTTTTCAATTTCAATTTTTTTAATTTTTCGTTTCTTCAATTTTTCAATTTGCGATTTTTTCCATTTTTCATTTTTTTATTTCTTCAATTTTTAGATTTTGCAATTTTTCAATTTAAAATTTCTCGAGCTGTCAATTTTTAATTTTTCAATTTTTCGATTTAGAATTTTTCGTTTTGGTTTTCTCTTTTCCTTATTTTTTCAATTTTTCGATTTTTCACTTTTCTTATTTTATAATTTTCTTCAATTTTTGATTTAGAATTATTCTAGTTTTTATTTTAAATATGTACATATGTAATAATTATAATTCAAAAATTTTTCATTTTTTCAATATTAAGACTATAGAATTTTTAGATTTTATAGAAATAATAATCATTTTCAAAATTATTCAATGTCAGTTTTACGATTTTAGAATTTTTCCGTTTTTCTATCTTTAGATTATTTTAAAACTCTTTCATTTATTCGACTTTTCAATTTTTCGATTTTTAATTTTTCAAGTTTCATTTCTTCAAATATCAATTTCAAATATTTCTTTTTTTTATTTTTCCATTTGCGATTTTTTTATTTTTCTTTTTTTTTTGTTTCAATTTTTAGATTTTGCAATTTTTTGATTTAAAGTTTTCGTTTCGGTTTTTTATTTTCTTTATTTTTCAATTTTTCGGTTCCTAAATGTTCTGATTTTCAATTTTCCATTTTTTAAAAGCGATTTTTTCATTTTTGAATTTTCCAATTTCACTGGTCAACAAAATTCAATTTTTTCTCTCTAACTTTGACATAATTGTAATGTTTTCGTTTAATTTGTCTCTGTGTTTGTAACAAAGGGCATAAACCTTACAACTTAGCTCAATTAAAAATAAAAATGCATATTTGATGTTAAAAACAAAAAAGCAGGTAAAACAATTTAATTTTTGTATCTTTAACGGCAAAAAGTGATGTATTAACAAAAGAACAACCATAATTAAGAAAAAAACAACGATTGTAGTTTAAAAAAAGAAAAAAACAAAAGAAACAGCTAAGACCGACGTTTTTTCGGTTGCCTCCTATGGGTTTCATTGGAGATCTCTCGCTTGATGGTCCCGCCGTATTTTGCGAGCATTTAGGGGTTCCATCGATCTTGGTAACGTTTTTGTATCCACAAAATGCCCAGATGGAAACGTTCTCTATGTCCGTCACTCACGTCGTCATAATTTTTGGGGAAAAAATCAAGATCCGAATACATAAAATGCACTTTTAAGAATATGTTAATTTAAAATTTTTTATATGATGATAACATGTTTTCTACTTACTAAACGTAGTTTTCTTATTGTTTCCCAAGAAGTTTGTAGCAATTTGATCACAAAAAAATACACCTTATAGAAAGTTTCCTGTTACTTAATAGTACGATTTTTGTATTTTTCAAAGGATAATATTGAAGATTACTTTTAAATGAGAGCTAAGTTTGGGTTTAGCCGTTTATAATATCATTTAAAATTGTTAATTAAATAATAATTGGCTGCTATAATAAAAGTTAGAGTCTAGCTGTTGACCAGTGTTTTTTTGCAAGTTTTCTAGTTTTCAGTTTAAATATGTAACAATTAAAATTTTTAAAATGTTAACTTAATTTTTGATTTGCATGTTTTTTAGTTTTCATTTTAAATACTTAATAATCAAATTTTTTAAAATCTTTTACTTTTTCAATTTTACGATTATAGATTTTGTCCATTTTTCTTTTACTAGATTTTACTAGAACTTTTCAATTTTTAGACTTTGAATTTTTCAAATTTTCGATTTTAAATTTTTCTTTTCTTCAATTTTTCAATTTGCGATTTTTTTATTGCAATTTTATATTTTCAATTTCATGTTTTTTTTATTTTTCGTTTCCTCAACTTTTGATTTGCAAGTTTTTAAATATGTAATAATTAAAATTTTTAAAATTGTTCCCTTTTTCAATTTTTCAGTTTTTCTATTATTGGATTTTTAAACTTTTTCATCTAATGGACTTTTCAATTTTTCGACTTTTAATTTTTCAATTTTTCGATTCTTCAATTTTTATTTCTTCAAATTTTCGATTTCAAATTTTTTTTCAATTTTTCAGTTTGCGATTTTTTTATTTTTAATTTTTTTTGTTTCGTCAATTTTTAGATTTTGCAATTTTTTGGTTTCAAATTCTCGAGTTTTCAATTTTTAATTTTTTAATTTGCAATTTTTCATTTCGGTTTTTTATTTTTAAATTTTTCAGTTTTTCAATGTTCTGATTTTATAATTTTCACTTAATTTTTGTTTTGCAAGATTTTTAGTTTTCATTTTAAATATGTGATAATTGAAATTTTTAAAATTTTTGATTTTTTCAATTTTGGGATTTTCGAATTTTTCAATTTTCCGATTTTTCAATTTTCATTGCTTCAATTTTCATTTCTTCAAATTTTTTATTTCAAATTTAGGCTTCGATTTTATAATTTTTTGTTTCTTCAATTTCTCAAGTTTTCATTTTAAATTTTTCAGACTTTCAATTTTCCAACTTTTGAATGTTTCAATTTTTATTTTTATTTCGAATTTTCACTTTTTCAGAGTTATATTCAATTTTTTGTTTCGGTTTTGTATTTTCTTTATTTATCAATTTTTCGTTTCTGATTTTATAATTTTCCTTTTTTTAAATGCGACTTTTTTTTTATTTTTGAATTTTCCAATTTTTTTTATTTGCAATTTTATATTTTCCAGTATATGATTTTTTAATTTTACGTTTCCTCAACTTTTGACTTGCAAATTTTCTAGTTTTCATTTTAAATATGTAATAAATGAAATTTTAAAAAATGTTCACTTTTTCAATTTTACGATTTTAGAATTTTTCCATTTCGACTTTTCAATTTTTCGACTTGCAATTTTTCAATTATTCGATTCTTCAATTTTCATTACTTCAAATTTTCGATTTCAAATTTTTCTTTTCCTCGATTTTTCAATTTTCGATTTTTTATTTCGCATTTTTTTGTTTCTTCAATTTTTAGATTTTGCAATTTTTTGGTTTAAAATTGTCAAGTCAATTTTTAATTTTTCAATTTGCAATTTTTCATTTCGATTTTTTATTTTCTTTATTTTTAAATTTTTCAGATTTTCAATGTTTTGATTTTATAATTTTCTATTTTTTTAAAAATGTGACTTATTTTTTCATTTTTGAATTTTTCAATTTTATGATTTGCAATTTTATATTTTTCAGTTTCATAATTTTTTAATTTTTCGTTTCCTCAACTTTTGATTTGCAAGTTTTCTAGTTTTCATTTTAAATATGTAACAATTAAAATTTTTTAAAATTTTCACTTAATTTTTGTTTTGCAAGATTTTTAGTTTTCATTTTAAATATGTGATAATTGAAATTTTTAAAATTTTTGATTTTTTCAATTTTAGGATTTTAGAATTTTTCAATTTTCGGAATTTTCAATTTTCATTGCTTCAAATTTTTTATTTCAAATTTAGGCTTCGATTTTATAATTTTTTGTTTTTTCAATTTCAATTTTTTCAATTTTTCCTTTCTTCAATTTTTCGATTTGCAATTTTTCATTTTTTTTCTCTTTAATTTTAGGACATGCAACTCTTCGAGTTTTCATTTTTAAATTTTTCAGACTTTCAATTTACCAACTTTTGGATGTTTCAATTTTTATTTTTATTTCGAATTTTCACTTTTTCAGAATTATATTCAATTTTTCGTTTCGGTTTTTTATTTTCTTTATTTATCAATTTTTCGTTTCTTCAATGTTCTGATTTAAATATAATTTTCCTTTTTTTAAATGCGACTTTTTTTATTTTCGAATTTTCCAATTTTTTTTATTTGCAATTTTATATTTTTCAGTTTCACGATTTTTCAATTTTTCGTTTACTCAACTTTTGATTTGCAAAAATTTTCTAGTTTTCATTTTAAATATGTAATAAATAAAATTTTTAAAAATGTTCACTTTTTCAATTTTACGATTTCAGAATTTTTCCATTTTTCTATTATTGGATTTTAGAACTTTTGAATCTATTCGACTTTTCAATTTTTCGATTCTTCATTCTTTATTTCTTCAAATTTTCGATTTCAAATTTTTCTTTTCCTCAATTTTTCAATTTGAGTTTTTTGTTTTTCCAATTTTTTTTATTTACAATTTTATATTTTGCAGTTACATGATTTTTCAATTTTTCGTTTCCTTCTAGTTGTCATTTTAAATATGTAATAAATAAAATTTTTAAAATTTTTCAGTTTTTCAATTTTACGATTTTAGAATTTTTCCATTTTTCTGTTATTGGATTTTAAAACTTTTTAATCTATTCGACTTTTCAATGTTTCGATTTTTAAATTTTCATTTCTTAAAATTTTGGATTTCAAATTTTTCGTTTCTTCAATTTTTCAATTGGCGAATTTTTTATTTTTCGTCTTTTTTTCTTTCTTCAGTTTTTGGATTTTGCAATTTTTCGATTTAAAATTATTGTGTTTTCAATTTTTAAGCTTTCAAATTGCAATTTTTCGCTCTATTGCCTTTATTTTTGAATTTTTCGCTTCTTCAATGTACTGATTTAAAATTTTCCCTTCTTTAAATGCGTTTTTTTTAATTTACTAATTTTTTAATTTTCAGTTTCGTAATTTTTCAATTTTTCATTTCCTTAATTTTTGATCTGCAAGTCTTCTAGTTTTCATTTTAGTATGTAATAATTAAAATTTTTCAGTTTTTCCATTTTTCTATTACTTGATTTTAGAACTTTTTCATCTATTCGACTTTTAAATTTTTTGACTTGTATTTTTCAATTTTTCGATTTTTCAATTTTCATTTCTTCAAATTGTTTAGTTATTTCAAATTTGAGGTTCCGATTTTCTATTTTCTTTATTTTTACAATTTTCGATTTTTCAATGTTTCATTTTTTTTGTTTCTTTAATTTTTAGATTTTGCAAATTTTTCAATTTAAAATATCTCGAGTTATCAATTTTTTATGTTCAATTTTTCGATTTTCGATTTTTTTATTTTGGATGTTTCAATTGTAATTCTTTTTTCCAATTTTCATTTTTTCATACATACATTCAGTTTTGGTTTTTTTTTTATATTATTTACTTTTTCAATTTTTACGTTTTTCAATGTTCTTTCAACTTTTCGGTTTTCGATTTTTCAACTTTTAACTCTCTTAATTTTAGTTTTTTTTGTTAATTTTAGATTTTGCAGTTTCATAATTTTTCTATTTTCCGTTTGTTCACTTTTTGATTTGCAGTTTTTCTAGTTTTTGATTTTAAATATGTAATAATAATTACAATTTTGAAAATTTTTCACATTTTTCAATGTTACATTTTTTCGATGCCACAAGAACTTTGAAAAATTAGAAATCAAGAACTTGAAGAATTGAAGAAACGAAAAATTAAAAAATTGAAACTCAAAAATTGATAGTGTCAACTCGAAAAAACGAAATATGTATTAGAAAATCAAAATATTGCAAATATTTTGCATACTTCAGATATCGGCAAAATTTTGTGATGACGTCAAACATTTTGGGAGGGGATAAACGAATAAGATAAAAGAATAAATTTTTATTAATAGTCGGTTTGGCAATTTCAAAGTTAAATTGCAAAATATTGTGCAATTTGATTTTTTTTTTTTTAAATCTGGATGTTTTGGGTGAAAACCCGACACGCACTCATACACCACAAGTGTAATTGACAATCGGTCTAGTAGTTTCGGAGATTACCTATCCAATAAAAATCCGTACAGAGGGCAGACAGACAGACAGACGGAAACATAAACTTACGCTCGGGAAGTAAAAATACACACCTCCTTGACAGACTCGGCGAGTTCGATTCTAAAAAATTCCTGTGCAACGCTAGAGGGCTCTGGTTTTCGCTACTGGCGGCTCGGTTGACTCTGGGTGGCGGTTCCGGGCTCTGGTGCCTCGACGACCGCCCGCTCCTGTCGCCGCCCAACTGCAGCTTAATATAGGAGGCAAACCTTTTCTTTCCTAATCACAACAACCACCATTAACCCACCCTCGCCGACACCCTCCAACCCCAAACCCGCACTCACCGGATTCCTCGGCCTCCTTCGCCAGCTGCTGCTGCTTCTGCTGGTGGAAGAACCTCTGCAGTATAATCGGACTCGTGTTCCCGCAGTTGTACTGCTCCTGGCTCTGCGCCCTCAGCGGCAGCGGCGAGCCGGTCGGCGACTTCCAGCTCTCGCTCCGCCTCTGCGGGAACGGCGAGACCGCGCCGCCGGAGGTCTCCGGCGCCTCGTTGTCCCGCCCCCGCTGCGACTTGGCGGCGGCCACGTGATTCTGATATGCTTTGAACGGCGAGTAAGTTCTGTACAGGCTATCGGGTTCGGTGGTGCTTTGGTGTGGTAGGTCGGCTGTCCTTTGGTGCGGATATGGCTGATTATCGTTTCTTTGGTGATTGAGTGATTGGAATGTAGCGAGACGAGAGATGTGGCCCCCACGCGAGTCCGGCGGCAGGTTCTGGTAGGCGGACGGCGGCTCTTGGCCGCCCTTGGCGGCGGGCTCGGGGGGCTTCAGCGGTTTGTACTGGCACTGCGCGTTGCCGTTGGTGATGTTCGTCAGGTATTGAGCAAGATGTTGGGTGGTGGGTGGTTGCCGTTGATGCGAGGTAAAAAAACGACGGAGGGTGGATTGGGCGATGTTCGATCTGGGGGTTGTAGTTGGAATGGAGGCGAATTAATCACGTGGTAAAAGAGCGGTGAAACAACGATGGGAGATGGGGTGGATTAATTAGTTGGAATTTTATAACCTAACTTTTTTGGGGTGTTGTAAATTTTTCGTACATCTCGTGAGTCTAGTGACCTGAGAAATTCATCTGTCAGATTGATTATGACATTTGAACTTAGTTGTCACTTGATGTGCGAATAATTCATCTATGGGACTCCTATGAGGGGCAAAAGAGGATTTTTTCCCATCATTGTTTTACTTTTTATTTACTGGAAAATTCTACGGCGTTCAAAATAATATCAGTGTTACTGTTTCATGCTTGTGTCGACAAACATTAGCATGCACTTGACGTTATTAACTAATTAAAAAAAGAAATGTGAGTACTACGCAAAAAATAAATGCATCCAAAATGTTCTGTGTTTGTTTATATTTTTTAGTTTTTAGTAAACTGTATACAAACAAATACATGCTATTAAAAACTGAACAAACTGTTTTATTTTCACATGCCTTTTTTAGCGTTCATAACCAGTGGCGGCGTTGGGATTGCATACCAAAATTTTAAAAAATGGTCGAGGGGTCGAACATTATTTTGACACAATTTCCCTTGCCCGTGAAGTACCTCCAACACAACAAATCCCGCTTCTTTGAAAAATTATGAAAATTCTCCCGCGGTTTTATCGACTTGAATTTTTCAGTTGTTCAATTTTCCATTTTTTTGTGTCTTCAGCTTTCCGATTACTTTTGAATTTTTCAATTTTTATATTTTGCAATTTTTCAATTTAAAATTTCTCGAGTTTCCAATTTTTTCTTTCGGTCTTTTGTTTTTTATTATTTTACAATTGTTCGATTTTTCAATGTTCCAATGTTATATATTTTTCTTTTTTCAATTTCAATTTTTTTAAATTTTTTGTTCTTCAATTTTTCATTTGGAATTCGTATTTTCTCTATTTTTCCAATTTTTCGGTTTTTTAATGTTCTGATTTTATAACTTTCCTTTAATTCATTGTGAAATTTTTCAATTGTTGGATTTTAAAATTTTTGGACTCGCAATTTTTCGGTTTTTCAACTTTCAGATTTTTTAATTTTTCGATTTTTCAAACTCAAATTTTTCAGTTACTCGATTTTTCGTTTTTTCGTCTCTTGCATTTTTGATTTGAAATTTTTCTAGTTTTCATTTCAAAACGTAATAATTTTACTTTTCAACTTTAAAACTAGAATTTTTCCATTTTTCAATTATTGGATTTTAAAACTTCCATTTTATCGATTTTTAAATTTTCAATTGCTCGACATTTAATTTTTCAATGTTACATATTTTTGATTTTATAATTTTGACGATTCTAAATTTTTCGATTTTACAATTTCTGGATTTTCCAAATATTCGATTCGTTTTTTTTTCTTTCCAATTGTTCGATTAAATTAATTTTTTACGATTTTTACATTTCTCGATTTTTCAATGTTACAATTTTTAGTTTCCTCAGTTTTTCGATTTTATGTTTCGATTTTCGACTTTTTCGACTTTGCAATTTCTCGTTTTTTCAGTTTTTCGATTTTTCCGATTTTTAGTTGTCAATTTTTCAATTTTTCGATTTTGCAATTTTTCGATTTACAATTTCACGAGTTTTCAATTTTTAATTTTTCAATTTTTCAATTTTTCGGTTTTTCGATGTTCTGATGTTAAGTTTTTCTTTTTTCAATGTGAAATTTTCCAATTTTTGGATTTTTTAATTTATCGATTTGCAATTTTTTGGTTTTCAATTTCTGAATTTTTCAAGTTTTAGATTTTTTACTTTTTCGTTGATGAGTTTTCATTTTAAAATATGTAACAATAATAATTATAATTCAAAAAATCTTCACCTTTTCAATTTTACAATTTTAGATTTTTTCAATTTTTGAATTATTGGATTTAAAACTTTTTCATTTATTCGATTTTTCGTTTCTACAGTTCTTCGTTTTCAAATTTTTCGATTTTCTACTTTTTCGACTTTGCAATGACTGGTCTTTTCAGTTTTCGATTTTTGAATTTTTTCAGATTTTTTTTTTTTCGTTTTTCCATTTTTAGATTTTGCAATTTTTCGATTTGCAATTCCACGAGTTTTCAATTTTTAATTTTTTAATTTTTCGGTTTTTCTATGTTCTGATATTACGTTTTTCTTTTTTTTCAATGTGAAATATTGCAATTGTTGGTTTTTACAGTTTTTCGATTTTTCATTTTTTTCTGATTTTTTAGTTTTCGTTTTTCCATTTTTAGATTTTGCAATTTTTCGATTTGTAATTTCACGAATTTTCAATTTTTTTGGTTTTTCAATGTTCTGATGTTAAATTCTTGTTTTTTTCAATTTGAAATTACCCCATTTTTTAATTTCTTGATTTATCTATTATTAATTTTTCGATTTTTCAACTTTTAGATTTTTAATTTTTCGTTTTTCCAGTTTTAGATTTTTGAGTTTTTCGATTTTTCAATTTTTGATTTGCAATTTTTTTAGTTTTCATTTTAAATATGTAATAATAATTATAATTCAAAAATTTTTCACCTTTTCAAGTTTATGATTTCAGAATTTTTCCATTTTTCAGTTATTGGATTTGAAACTTTTCCATTTATTCGATTTTTCAAATTTTCGATATTTATTTTTCAATTACTTGATATTTAATTTTTGCATTTTTCGATCCTGCAATTTTTGGGTTTTCCAATTAATCGATTCGTCCATTTTTTTGTTTCCAATTTTTGGATTTTTTTTTTTAGAATTTTCAACGTTTAAATGTTTCAATTTTTCGTTTCTTCAGTTCTTCGATTTGCGATTTTTCGATTTTCCACTATTTCGCCATTGCAAGTCTGATTTTTTCAGTTTTTCGTCTTTCAATTTATTGAGATTTTTAATTTCCGTTTTTCCCTTTTTTGGATTTTGCATTTTTCAATTTGCAAATTCACGAGTTTTCAATTTTTCTTTTTTTTCAGTTTTTAGTTTTAGTTTTTCAATTTTTCAACTTTTTTCTGATTTTTTTTAGTTTTCGTTTTTCCACTTTTAGATTTTTTTCAATTTTTGGATTTTTTAATTCATCGAATTGCAATTTTTCGGTTTTTCAACTTTTACATTTTTTAATTTTTCTTTTTTCCGGTTTCAGATTTTTCAGTTTCTCGATTTTTCGATTTTTCATTTCTCTAATTTTTGATTTGATTTTCTAGTTTTCATTTTAAATATATAGCAGTAATTATAATTCAAAAATTTTTCACTTTTTTGATTTTAGGATTTTAGAATTTTCCCATTTTTGAGTTATTAGATTTTAAAACTTTTTCATTTATTCAATTTTTCAGTTTTTCGATTTTTAATTTTCCAATTTCTCGATATTTAATTTTTCGACTTTACAATTTTGACGATTCTATAATTTTTCGATTTCACAATTTTTGAGTTGTCCAATTTTTTGACTCGATTCGTTTTTTCTTCTTTTTAATTTTCCGTTTCTTTAGTTCTTGATTTGAAATTTTTAGGTTTTCCACTTGTTCGACTTCGATTTTTTAGTGTTTCGATTTTTCAACTTTTCGGATCCAAAAATGGAAAAATTGCAAAATTTGTAAAATGAAAAATCAAAAATGAAAAAACGAAAAAGTATAAAATAAAAACTTTGAAAAATTGTAAAAATGGGAATTAAGAACTTGAAAAATTGTAAAAACAAAAAATTGAAAAATGTGCAAAAGCGAAAAAACGAAACATCGTAAAATCGAAATATTGAAAATTAAAAAAGAGCAAAATTATCAAATTGAAAAAACATTAAAAAAGCAAAATAAATGAAAAGCAAAAAACTGTGATATTAAATTGAGCAAATGATAAATAAAAAATCCAGAAAATATCAAAAACTTGAAAAATTGAGGAAAATAAAAATTGAAAAATCAAAAAATTAAAAATTGAGAAACTAAAAAAAAATCAATTTTGAAAAACTGCAAAATTGAAAAATTTGGAAATCGAAGAATTGAAAAACCAAAGATTGAAAATTTGAAAAATTGAATAAACGAAGAATTATAAAATTGAAAGAAACATTGAAAAAACAAAGGAAATGAATAAGGGAAAAATTAAAAAATTCGGAAAACGAAAAATAAAAATCAAGAACTTGAAAAACTGCGGAAACAAAAAATTGAAAAATCGAAAAATTAAATTAAAAAATTCGGAAAACGAAAAATAAAAATCAAGAACTTGAAAAACTGCGGAAACAAAAAATTGAAAAATCGAAAAATTAAAAATTGAGAAAATGAAAAATCGAAAAATTTCAATTTCGAAAAACTGCAAAATTGAAAACTTTAAACATTGGAAAATCGAGGAATTAAAAAATCAAACACTGAAAATTTGAAGAATTGAATAAAAGAAGATTATAAAATCGAAAGCAACCTTGAAAAATCATTTCCTGTGATGAGAAAAGATTGAAAATTTGAAAAATCGAATAAACGAAAAATTATAAAATCGAAAGAAACATTGAAAAAACGAAGGAAATGAAAAACGAAAAATTAAAAAATCCGTAAAATGAAAAATAAAAATCAAGAACTTGAAAAATTGCGGAAACGAAAAATGGAAAAATCGAAAAATTAAAAATTAAGAAAATAAAAAACCGAAAAATTGCAAATCAAAAAATTGAAGAAACGAAACATTAAAAAATCTGGAAGTCGGGAAGCTGAAAAATTGAAAAAAGGAGGAATTGAAAAAATAAAGAAAATAAAAAACGAAAAATTGTGATATTAAGACACCGCGAAATTGAAAAATTTTAAAATTGGAAAATCGAAGAATTGAAAAATCAATGACTGAAAATTTGAAAATTTGAATAAAGGAAGAATTATAAAATCGAAAGAAACATTGAAACACCAAAGGAAATGAAAAAGCGAAAAAATAAAAAATCCGTAAAATGAAAAATAAAAATCAAGAACTTGAAAAATTGCGGAAAAGAAAAGTGGAAAAATCGAAAAATTAAAAATTAAGAAAATAACAAACCGAAAAATTGCAAATCAAAAAATTGAAGAAACGAAAAATTAAAAAATCTGGAAGTCGGGAAGCTGAAAAATTAAAAAAGGAGGAATTGAAAAAATAAAGAAAATAAAAAACGAAAAATTGTGAACTGCGAAATTGAAAAATTTTAAAATTGGAAAATCGAAGAATTGAAAAATCAACGATTGAAAATTTGAAAAATTGAATAAAGGAAGAATTATAAAATCAAACGAAACATTGAAAAACCAAAGGAAATGAAAAAACAAAAAATTAAAAATCCGAAAAATGAAAAATAAAAATCAAGAACTTGAAAAATTGTGGAAACAAAAAATGGGAAAATCGAAAAATTAAAAATTAAGAAAATAAAAAACCGAAAAATTGCAAATCAAAAAATTGAAGAAACGAAACATTAAAAAATCTGGAAGTCGGGAAGCTGAAAAATTAAAAAAGGAGGAATTGAAAAAATAAAGAAAATAAAAAACGAAAAATTGTGAAATTAAAACACCGCGAAATTGAAAAAATTTAAAATTGGAAAATCGAAGAATTGAAAAATCAAAGATTGAAAATTTGAAAAATTGAATCAAGGAAGAATTATAAAATCAAAAGAAACATTGGAAAATCAAAGGAAATGAAAAAACGAAAAATTAAAAAATCCGTAAAATGAAAAATAAAAATCAAGAACTTGAAAAATTGAGGAAACGAAGAATGGAAAAACCGAAAAATTGAGAAAATGAAAAATCTAAAAATTACAAATCAAGAAATCGAAAAATTTGGAAGTTGGAAAACCGAAAAATTGAAAAAAGGAGAAATTGAAAAAAATAAAGAAAATAAAAAACGAAAAATTGTGATATCAAAAAACTGAGAAATTGAAAAATTTTAAAACTGGAAAATCGAGGAATTGAAAAATCAAAGATTGAAATTTTGAAAAATTGAATAAAAGACGAATTATAAAATCGAAAGCAACCTTGAAAAACCGCAGGAAATGAAAATGCGAAAAATTAAAAAATCCGTAAAATGAAAAATAAAAATCAAGAACTTTGAAAAATTGAAGAAACGAAAAATGGAAAAACCGAAAAATTAAAAATTGAAAAAATGAAAAATCGAAAAATTGCAAATCAAAAAATTGAAAAATTTCGAAGTTGGGAAACTGAAAAATTGAATAAATTAAAAATTATAAAATCGAAAGCAACATTGAAAAAACAAAGGAAATGAAAAACCGAAAAGTGAAAAAATCCGGAAAATGATGTTTATCAAGAACTTGAAAAATTGAGGAAAACTGCGAAATTAAGAATTTTAAGTTGGAAAATTGAGAAAATGAAAAATCAAAGATTGAAATTTTGAAAAATTGAATAAAAGACGAATTATAAAATCGAAAGCAACCTTGAAAAACCGCAGGAAATGAAAATGCGAAAAATTAAAAAATCCGTAAAATGAAAAATAAAAATCAAGAACTTTGAAAAATTGAAGAAACGAAAAATGGAAAAACCGAAAAATTAAAAATTGAAAAAAAAAAAATCGAAAAATTGCAAATCAAAAAATTGAAAAATTTCGAAGTTGGGAAACTGAAAAATTGAAAACAGGAGAAATTGAAAAAATAAAGAAAATAAAAAACTACAAATTGTGATATCAAAAAACTGCGAAATTGAAAAATTTTAAAATTGGAAAATCGAGGAACTGAAAAATCAAAGATTGAAAATTTGAAACATCGAATAAACTTAAAATTATAAAATCGAAAGAAACATTGAAAAAACAACGGAAATGAAAAACGAAAAATTAAAAAATCCCTAAAATGAAAAATAAAAAATCAAGAACTTTGAAAAATTGCGGAAACGAAAAATGGAAAAATCGAAAAATTAACAATTGAGAAAATGGAAAATCTAAAAATTGCAAATCAAAAAATTGAAAAATTTGAAAGTTGGGAAACTGAAAAATTGAAAAAAGGAGAAATTGAAAAAATAAAGAAAAAAAAACGAAAAATTGTGATATCAAAAAACTGCGAAATTGAAAAATTTAAAGTTGAAAAATCAAGGAATTGAAAAATCAATGATTGAAAATTTGAAAAATCGAATAACGGAAAAATTATAAAATCGAAAGAAACATTGAAAAAACAACGGAAATGAAAAACGAAAAATTAGAAAATCCGTAAAATGAAAAATAAAAATCAAGAACTTTGAAAAATTGCGGAAACGAAAAATGGAAAAATCGAAAAATTAAAAATTGAGAAAATGAAAAATCAAAAAATTGAAAAATTTGAAAGTTGGGAAACTGAAAAATTGAAAAAAGAAGAAATTGAAAAAATAAAGAAAATAAAAAATGACAAATTGTGAAATCAAAAAACTGCGAAATTGAAAGATTTAAAAATTGAAAGATCGAGGAATTAAAAAATTATAAAATCGGAAGAAACATTGAAAAAACAAAGTATATGAAAAAGAAAAAGTGAAAAAAAAATCGGGAAAATGAAAAATAAAAGTCAATAACTTGAAAAACTGCAGAAACCAAAAATGGAAAAATCGAAAAATTGCAAAATTGAAAAATTTGGAAGTCCGGAAACGGAAAAATTGAAAAAAAGAGAAATTAAAAAAAATAATAAAAAACGAAAAATTGTGATATCAAAAAACTGCGAAATTGAAAAAATTTTAAAATTGGAAAATCGAGGAATTGAAAAATCAAAGACTAAAAATTTGAAAAACTGAATAACCGAAGAATTATAAAATCGAAAGAAACATTGAAAAAACAAAGGAAATGAACAAGCGAAAAATTAAAAAATCCGGAAAATGAAACATAAATATCAAGAACTTGAAAAATTGAGGAAACGAAAAATTGAAAAATCGAAAAATTAAAAATTGAGAAAATAAAAAATCGAACAATTGCAAACCGAAAAATTGCAAATCAAAAAATTTAAGAAATGAAAAATTGAAAAATCCGGAAGTCGGGAAACAAAAATTGAAAAAAGAAATTGAAAAAATTAATAAAATAAAAACGAAAAATTGTGATATTAAAAAACTGCGAAATTGAAAAATTTTAGAACTGGAAAATCGAGGAATTGAAAAATCAAAGAATGAAAATTTGATAAATTGAATACAGGAAGAATTATAAAATCAAAAGAAACATTAAAAAACCAAAGGAAATAAATAAGCTGAAAACGAAAAATAAAAATCAAGAACTTGAAAAATTGTGGAAACGAAAAATGAAAAAATTCAAAAATTAATTATGTAAATAATAATTATATAAATGGTATCAAAAAATTGTAAAATCGAAAAAAAAAAAACGAAAAATTGTGATATCACAAATTACCTTCGACCAATTTTTGATATCACAATTTTCCGTTTTTTTTTTTTTCAATTTTACAGTTTTTTATAAGGGGGAAATAAATTTTGATTGGTTTTGGAGTTTCAAAGTTAAATTGCAAAATGTTGTTATACAATTTTAATTTTTTCCCAAAAATCTGGATGTCTTGGGTAAAAAACTGAACACGTGGGGATGTTTATCCAAATTTTGGTTAGCATTTTACCATCTGCAAGATATTCCTAATACATTTAAAATTCGAACAGACAGACAGAAACGGAAGATCTATTTTTTCGTACTCTAGAGGTCGTGAAACTTCAAAAAAACATAAAAGTACCCAGTCGTACTCGCTTACAGTACTGCCTTAGCTTACTTTCAGGAAGTAAAATTAATTAATTTACAAAACAAGCTGCAATCAATAACAGTTTTTCTCATTGTCTGCCACTCACGAGGCATGCGAGACAAAGAGAAAAAATTCAAGGTTACCAAAGCCATTTCTATTGATTGCACTGTATATAAATACCGCAGACCTCCAATATACGTCTATTTCTGGACCAAGTGATAAAAGCTACTTTTAATCGCGCGAGCAAGTGTGCTAAAATTTTTTTCCCACAACGCCGCCACCATTCACTCCCCCACTCACCCAAACTACAAACTAAAGAAAAAATAAAAAAACGAAACTAACCATGCAACGTACCTAGGCGCTGTTGTACCAGCCACAGCGTCTGCTTCCTTAAGCGCTTTTACCGCCCACTCCCCCACATCGACGTGCTTAGTCTCATACTTTTTAATAAAAGCCAAAGACTTCAATTTCGCATATTTAGGCCTCTGTTTCTGATCTTTAATCAAACTAGAACAAACCCAAAACATTTGTACGTCGCGCAAATACAAAAAACACCTACCAACACTTGACAAATTCCCTAAACTCCGGACTAAAAGTATCAGGAAGACTCGGCGGATCCTGGCCTAATACTTTCGTTAGAACTTCAAAGTCGGTGGTGCAGTTGGGATATGGAAACACGCCAGTTGCTAACTCAACTAGGGTGATCCCCAAGGACCACACGTCGGCGCGAATGTCATAATCTGGATTTTTCGGATCAGGTTCGATGCGTTCAGGCTGGAATGATAAAGTAGAGGGAAACAGTGACAATAAGGACGACAATAAAATTACAGCTAGATATGCGGCACAGCCTGCACTTCTTGTTTTGGCCATTGAGTCGACTAAGCGGCCGCTGATACCGAAATCACAAAGTTTGACGTGGCCTTTAGTGTCTAGGAGGATGTTTGAGGGCTTGACGTCCCTGTGTATCACGCCGTGTTTATCTTTTAAATATGATAAAGCTTCCACAGTCTAAAAATTATTATTGATTCAAGCTTGAACAAATGAGTCAAGTACTCACCGCAACTGTCACTTTACCCAATATTTCTTCAGGTATCGGTTTCCCTAACCTTTTGAGTAATTTATCAAAACAAGTAGTCATTAATTCCATGCATATCCAAACTTCTGTGTCAGTAATAAAACAACCTAAACATTGAACTATGTATTTACAGTCGTGTGATTTTAAAACCACTTCTATGTCCATTATTATCCTTTTATTTTCTTCTGTGTTACCTGAGCGCCTCATTTGCTGAAACACACGCAGTTAAGGTTAGGTGGGGCTCAATGTGCGATTATTACTTTGACAGCTATTATTTCATTACTAGGTTTGTGCCTCATTTTGATAACGTGCCCGCAGGTCCCAAACCCCAACTCTTCAAGCCTCTCCATATCCTTAATATTTGTTTCATATGTTTTGTTGTTAATAGTTAAGTTACCACTAATCTTCATAATTTCTTTCAATTTGTTATCAGTCTCTAAGTTGTCATTGCTTCTGGCTGAGAACGCCAAATCCCTAGGCCTACTCTTGCTAGGGCCAGTAATGTCCACTAAACACACCTCGTTTACGCTTTTATTGAAAAATCAAAGCAACAACTTACATTGAAGAGGGGGGCGACTGTGAGCAACATCACCATTATTTCTGGGGACATTTTTACCGGACATTTGGGGGCTGCGTGGAGGATTACCTTCTTGTCTTAATCGATCTAATAAATTATTTATTTTCTGTTCTTGACTAGACATACTTATACACACTACAAAGTCAAAACCAATGACAGCTATGCGAAATAACCTGTAACTTTTGTTAGCTGCCAAAGGAAAAAACCATTGCCACCTTAGTGACAAAACGAAAGTCCCTAGGTTTTTGCTTGACAGCAGCTGCGGGTTTAAAAAGTTCAAGCGAAATCTGAAACACGAAAAATACTCTGGACACGTTATAACAACCCGAAACGTTCAATATAAAATTAAAATCGCCAATTTCACTCACGTCACAAATTTTATTAAATCAACACAAGTATAATAATACAAAGTTGTAAGAGTACAAAACAGGACCAGTTGTTTGACAAAGTGTACACAGATGTCGCAAACAATGCACTCACGATAAAATTAAAATCCCTATAATTAATAAAAACACAGCTAAATATCTATTTAAACACTATTTTCCTATTCTTTGGATCGACCACTGTTGTTGGCACAAAGGGCATTTAGGACTTTGCTTCACCCACAGAGACATGCAGCAGTGGTGAAACGTGTGGTTGCATTCGCCCCAAACTACAACACATTCTTCTTTTTTCTCGCCCTGGTTGTACACTTTCTCGGCCTGACACTTCAAACAACAGTCCGTCACTTGGTTGCGACAGATAGCACAAGTGTCGCATTCCACGTCCCATGTCCACATACCAACGGCGTTCCACTTTTTCAAAGTGAACATTTTCGTGTCGCTTTTGGTGGAGTCGTCGAGGGGTTGAGGCTTTTCGTTCCCAGTTGCCATTTTCGGAAAATAGAGAGTCTAAACCAAATTTGAAAATTTTTAGTCTTTAGAAAGTTGGGTCTATTTTGTTTACCTTGATTTTTGTTGTTTGAAGCGCGGCTGTAGAATAAATGGGTGGTACTGGCGACTTGGGATGGTATTTAGAGGGATTGTAGATGAAAAGTGAGAGTACTGAGGGTGTCCAGGTGCAGTTTTCAGTGGAGGAGGATTAAGTTAATTCCTACTTAACGATAGTTTTATGACGGAGTCACGTTGATAAACTTAGTAATTGTGCTTCTGGTCTGATAAGTACCATTAGTAATGGTAATGTGTTTGTAATGTAAAATTGTTTAGTATTCGATAGTGGATTGACCATCAGGAGTTCGAGTAACGCCCAAGGCTATAGTAAACAATGCAAATCCCTTTTTAGGTAGCTTATTACCTGATGGTTAGAAATATTCGCACATGGATTCTGCATGTCACAAAGTTTACAAATGTATTACCTTTGAAGACTATCTTTAGAAGTGTATAACTTACAAGTACATACTTAATGCTAACTAGTTCAAAAATTTTCTAATTTTTACTTAATTTTCCCTCAGTCCTTTATACATAAAAAAGTATTTACTTGAAATCATAAGTAAGAACTTATTGCTCGGAAATCTTGTAAATATTTTAAGATTATTGTAATCATGGTAAATCGTTAAACAAAATTTATTCTTTATCCCCTCCCAAAAAACTGGTGACGTCATCTCAAAATTTTGCCGATATCCAAAATGTGCCAACATAAATTTTATCTTAACAAGAACTAGCAACATTCGTGTTGTGCTAGTTTCGATTGCCAATATTGCCATATCAACTACCGCTACCAACCGCGTTCGGCGTAAAGTACTAGATGACAGGGCTACCAACTTGACTTTTTATCGAGTGGTTCCGTAGAAATGACCGCTACTGTATAAATGGATTTTAAATTGCATAAAATAACATAATCCCACACATGTACCTACCCGAAACGTCGAGATTTTTGAAAAAAAATCAAAAATATAGAACAACATTTTGCAATTTACTTTTGAATCTGCAAAATCGAATGCTTTGAAATCTTGCAAATATTTTAAAGTTATGATAAGCATAATAAATTTTTAATCAAACCATATTTACTATCCTCTCTAAAAAATTGGTGACGTCAGCTCAAAATTTTGTCGAATAAATCCTATCTAAAATGCCCAAAATATTATGAGTCTGCACTTGTGATTTATCATTCCATTCATATTTTTTGGATTTTCTCAGAGGATATTTCATTTGCCAAAATTAGTCTTATCTTAATAAGGACTAGCCCCGCCCACCCGCCCTCAATTTTCTTAAAAGGTATGTGATCTGCCAAAATCAGTTTTATCTTAGCAAGTACTAGCCCCGCCCACCCACCCTCTCTTTTCTTAGAGGCTATGTCATCTGCCAAAATCAGTCTTCTCTTAGCAAATACTAGCATTTTGGTATATCACATATCCTTTGAAAAAATAGAGGGCGGGTGGGCGGGGCTAGTACTTGCTAAGATAAGACTTATTTTGGCAAATAACATATCCTCTGAGAAAACAGGGGGCGGGTGGGTGGGGTTACTACTTACTAAGGTAAGACTAATTTTGGCAAATAACATACCCCCTGAGAAAAAAGGGTGCGGGTGGGCGGGGCTAGTACTTGCTAAGATAAGACTGATTTTGCCTCTATTAATCTTGCAAAAACTTGTTAAATTTAAAAGGTATTAAATTGTAAATTTCCATGCTAACGAGTTTAATTCCTAAATCTAACCAATTTTTTTATTTTTCGATTTATCGGTTTTTATATATTTTAAATTTTCCAATTTTTCCATTTTTAGTTTTTCAATTTTTAATTTTTCGATGTTTTGATTATCCGATTTTTATGATTTTCAATTTTTCAGCTTTTCAGCATTTCTATTGATAGATCTTCCAATTTTTCAATGTTCAATTTCTCAATTTTTCAACATTTAGTTTTGGGGATTTTTCAATATCTGGATTTTTCAATTCTTCGATATTTCGGCTTTTCAATTTTTCAATTCTTCGATTTTTAGTAATATTCCAACGTTCCAATTTTTCTCCCGATATTTAAATTTTTCAATTTTTCGACTGTTCAATTTCCCAATTTTGCGATTTTTTGACTTTTCAATTAATATTTTTAACATTTGTCCCCTATTTTCTCAGAGGATATGTTATTTGCCAAAATTAGTCTTATCTTAGCAAGGACTAGCCCCGCCCACCCACCCTCTCTTTTCTTAGAAGCTATGTCATCTGCCAAAATCAGTCTTATCTTAGCAAATACTAGCATTTTGGTATATCACATATCCTTTGGAAAAATAGGGGGCGGGTGGGCGGGGTTAGTACTTGCTAAGATAAGACTTATTTTGGCAAATAACATATCCTCTGAGAAAACAGGGGGCGGGTGGGCGGGCCTAGTACTTGCTAAGATAAGACTTATTTTGGCAAATAACATATCCTCTGAGAAAATAGGGGGTGGGTGGGCGGGGATAGTACTTGCTAAGATAAGACTGATTTTGCCTCTATTAATCTTGTAAAAACTTGTTCAATTTAAAAGATGTTAAATTGCAAATTTCCATGCTGAGTTAAATTCCTAAATCTGATAGGGTGTTTATTTTTTATGTTTCATTCTACGTCAGGAGCGAGGGAAGTTCTGTTGAAACAACTTTCGACCAATTTTTTGATTTTTCGATTTATCGATTTTTATAAATTTTAAATTTTCCAATTTTTTGATTTTTCGATTTATCGATTTTTATAAATTTTAAATTTTCCAATTTTTCAATTTTTAATTTTTCGATGTTTAGATTTTCCGATTTCTAGGATTTCCAATTTTTCAGCTTTTCAGCTTTTCTGTAGATATATCTTCCAATTTTTCAATGTTCAATTTCTCAATTTTTCAACATTTAGTTTTGGGGATTTTTCAATACCTGGATTTTTCAATTCTTCGGTATTTCGGCTTTTCAATTTTTCAATTCTTCGATTTTTAGTAATATTCCAACGTTCCAATTTTTCTCCCGATATTTAAATTTTCCAATTTTTCAAATGTTCAATTTCCCGATTTTGCGATTTTTTGACTTTTTAATTCATATTTTTTAGATTTGCCCCCTATTTTCTCAGAGGATATGTTATTTGCCAAAATTAGTCTTATCTTAGCAAGGACTAGCCCCGCCCACCCACCCTCTCTTTGCTTAGAAGCTATGTCATCTGCCAAAATCAGTCTTATCTTAGCAAATACTGGCATTTTGGTATATTACATATCCTTTGAAAAAATAGGAGGCGGGTGGGCGGGGCTAGTTCTTGCTAAGATAAGACTTATTTTGGCAAATAAGATCTCCTCTAAAAAAACAGAGGGCGGGTGGGCGGGGCTAGTACTTGCTAAGATAAGACTTATTTTGGCAAATAACATATTCTCTGAGAAAGTAGGGGTCGGATGGGCTGGGCTAGTACTTGCTAAGATAAGACTTATTTTGGCAAATAACATATTCTCTGAGAAAATAGGGGGCGGATGGGCGGGGCTAGTACTTGCTAAGATAAGACCGATTTTGCCTCTATTAATCTTGCAAAAACTTGTTAAATTTAAAAGGTGTCAAATTGCAAATTTCCAGCTAACGAGTTAAGTTCCTAAATCTGATAGGCTGTTTATTTTTTGTTTCATTCTACGTCAGGAGCGAGGGAAATTCTGTTGAAATAACTTTTCCACCAATTTTTTGATTTTTCGATTTCTAGGATTTTCAATGTTTCAGCTTTTCACCTTTTCTATTGATAGATCTTCCAATTTTTCAATGTTCAATTTCTCAATTTTTCAACATTTAGTTTTGGGGATTTTTTAATATCTGGATTTTTCAATTCTTCGATATTTCGGCTTTTCAATTTTTCAATTCTTCGATTTTTAGTAATATTCCAACGTTCCAATTTTTCTCTCGATATTTAAATTTTTCAATTTTCCGACTGTTCAATTTCCCGATTTTGCGATTTTTTGACTTTTCAATTAATATCTTTTAGATTTGCCCCCTATTTTCTCAGAGGATATGTTATTTGCCAAAATTAGTCTTATCTTAGCAAGGAGTACCCCGCCCACCCACCCTCTCTTTTCTTAGAAGCTATGTCATCTGCCAAAATCAGTCTTATCTTAGCAAATACTAGCATTTTGGTATATCACATATCCTTTGAAAAAATAGGGGGCGGGTGGGCGGGCCTAGTACTTGCTAAGATAAGACTTATTTTGGCAAATGACATATCCTCTGAGAAAATAGAGGGCGGGTGGGAGGAGCTAGTACTTGCTAAGATAAGACTGATTTTGCCTCTATTAATCTTGCAAAAACTTGTTAAATTTAAAAGGTGTTAAATTGCAAATTTCCATGCTAACGAGTTAAATTCCTAAATATGATAGGGGGTTTACTTTTTATGTTTCATTCTACATCAGGAGCGAGGAAAGTTCTGTTGAAACAACTTTCGACCAATTTTTTGATTTTTCGATTTATCGATTTTTATAAATTTTAAATTTTCCAATCTTTCAATTTTTAATATTTCGATTTTTAGGATTTTCAATTTTTCAGCTTTTCAGCGTTTCCATTGATAGATCTTCTAATTTTTCAATGTTCAATTTCTCAATTTTTCAACATTTAGTTTTGGGGATTTTTCAATTCTTCGATATTTTGGCTTTTCAATTTTTCAATTCTTCGATTTTTAGTAATATTCCAACGTTCCAATTTTTCTCTCGATATTTAAATTTTTCAATTTTTCGATTGTTCAATTTCCCGATTTTTCGATTTTTTGACTTTTCAATTCATATTTTTTAGATTTGGCCCCTATTTTCTCAGAGGATATGTCATTTCCCAAAATTAGTCTTATCTTAGCAAGGACTAGTCCCGCCCACCCGCCCTCAATTTTTTTAAAGGCTATGTCATCTGCCAAAATCAGTCTTATCATAGAAAATACGAGAGCATTTTGGTAAATCACATATCCTTTGAGAAAATAGGAGGCGGGTGGGCGGGGCTAGTACTTGCTAAGATAAGACTTATTTTGGCAAATAACATATCCTCTTCGCAAATAACGGACGAGTGGGCGGGGCAAGTACTTGCTAAGATAAGACTTATGTTGGCAAATAACATATCCTTTGAAAAAATAGGGGTCGGGTGGGCGGGGCTAGTACTTGCTAAGATAAGACTGATTTTGCCTGCAAAACATTATGAGTTTTTACTTGCGATTTATCATTGCATTCATATTTTATAGACTTGCTTATACTGGTGGCTCAAAAAATTAATGAATGTGTCAGTTTATTTTATTGATTAAATCACCAACGGCTCACTCCATTTCCCCAGAAAATTTTGAGATTAAAATACTGTTATTTTTAGTATTACAGTACACCAATCCAAGGTGTCTTTGCAAAAATGTTGATGACGTCATCACAAAATTTTGTAAAGTAAAAACTCAACTCAACTGCCGAAACAGCTTTTGACCAATTTTTTTAAGAATGTGAAACCTTCTCGAGGGTTCCAACTGTGTTTTTTTAAAATGTAAAACCTTCTCAGGGTCGCCAAATGTGCTTTTTAAGAATGTGAAACCTTCTCGATGGCGCAAAATGTATTTTTTTTTAAGAATCTGAAACCTTGTCGGGGGCGCCAACTGTCTTTTTTAAAATATGACCCAACAAACACGCTTATTTTATACCATATGTTTATTATTTAATAAATTTTTTTAAGGGTAAAAGTTGTGTTGACTTAAAAAGACCTTGTCTGAGTCGGAGGACCAAAATTACTGGTTATAGATTTGGTCCATCTTTCAATGTAGAAATTATTTCAAAAAGGAAACAATATACATCAGGACATTGTTTCAATTTTTAAATTTCCCACATTTTTTACATTTAAAACGTCATCTCGCTGTTTAGTTGGCTATCACATCGCTAGGGGCGCTGAAAATGTGTTTCCAAACGAATATTTTCAGGTCTTATCTTTTGATTTGTTTTGATAGGTTATTTTTTGAAAACAAAAAAACTTGGATTCGTTTTTGTTTGAAATATCGCCAGGAAAATTTAACTGAACAGAAATTTTCAACTATCAAAAAATGAGGGTAAAATAAAGCAACAACAATTTCAATTAAAATGCACATTTATTCATACTTGCACTTGCACACTGTAATACTTAAACTAATAAAGCTCTCACGGCCTTAAAGAATATAAACCACTAACCAACTTCATCCACCAAATACACATATAAAAGAAGTTAGCCACCAAATAAAATTAACACCTTAAAACTTATAAATCCTCACGTTTGTGTATGTTTAGCATTGTGATGTCGTTTAAGCTTCTGACTCTCAGTAAAAGACTTGCCGCAATCCGGAAACGTACAAACATACGGCCGCTCCCCAGTATGACTCCGTAAATGAATAGTCAAATGATGACGCTCATAAAACGTCTTAAAACACTCATCGCATTTGTGCAACCTAATCCCCTAAAAAATCAAACTATTAATCTTATCTAAAAATTATTTCCCCATTCTTTGGATGGACCACTCTTGCTGGCACAGCGGGCATCTGTTATTTTGCTTCACCCACAGCGACATGCAACAATAGTGAAACGAGTGGTTACATTCGCCCCAAACCACAACGCAGTCCTGCTTGCCGTAGGAGTCTTTCTTGCTCTCGGCCTGACACCGCAAACACGCGTCCATGACCTGGACGCGACAAATAGCGCAAGTGTCGCACTCCACGTCCCAGCTCCACATCGCCACGGCGTTCCACTTCTTCAAAGTGAACATTTTTTCGTTCTTTGAGGAGTCGTCGAGGCGCTCGGTGTTTTCGTTCTCGTCGGCTATGGAAGCGGACATTTTCGAAAAAACGAGGAAAGTTTGCTCTTGATTTAACTTTTCTAGTAAGTTGGGTTTTTAACCTCACTTTTTGACAGTTTGACTGTGGTTTGAGGTTGACAGATGTGACAAGCAGGATTGCCAAAATAACAGATTAGTGATCCCAAATATTCAAATTTGGGCACTATGCCATCAATTCTATCAATAATTTGTCTGCAGTCTTTACCTGGTGGTATCTCTGGTGTTTTAGAAGTTCTTTCTTCGTGTAAAAAGCTGACGGGCATGCCTGACACTTGAAATCTTTAATTCCAGTATGAATGCGCTCGTGACGTTCTAGACTACACTTTGAACAAAACGCCTTAGTACACTGAGAACAATAAAACCTAACTCCTTCGTGGTGCTTCTTTTCATGTGCTCTTAAGTTGCTTCGTACTGAAAAACCTATATTACATATTTTACACACATATCCTTTGACATCCAAGTGTATTTTTTCATGACAAGTTAGAGAATTTTTTGTAATGAAGCCTTTACCTGGAGAAATTGTCAATAATTGTGTGTACTCATGGAATTAGATTGACACTCACCACAAGTCACACATAAAAATGAACGCTTCCCTTGGTGTTTCAAGTGATGGGTTTTTAAAGTATATGCAGAACTTAGTATTTTCTTACAATTGTTGTATGTACAGATGTACTTAACGTTTTTCACAGGCTGATTTTGACTATCATCTACAAAATATGTTGGCAACAATGTGCAAGTCAACAGTCAAATTAGAAGTACCTACCTACATCAGAGTTATCTCCACTATCACCATTGTCTCTCACTAGTTCTAAAATTAAAACATAAAGTGTGTTAAAACGTTTCTGTATTAATATTACCATCATTTTCAGCATCTTCAGCTTTTATTTCTTGATTTTCAGCACCACACTGATGTGACCCAAATTCATCCAGACATTTAAAACTTACTTTACAAACTGAACATGGAATATTTTCTTTAATAGAGAAATTCGCGGAATGTGAATATACATGTTTTTTGAATACTTCTGAGTCATTAAATTCTGCAGGACATTCTCTACATTTAAATTGTTCCTGGCAGTCTTTTTTGGTCTCTGCGTTTTTTAATACCTTTCTTAAACTTTGATCCACCTTACGCACGTATTGTTTAAATAGGGAAAACGTTTTTATCGTTTTTTTGCATTCATCACACACTGAATGTGGCAAAAATTCCATTAATTTATCATTCACCTAAAATTGTACTTCACTTGAGAAACACACGAGTTGTTAAATTACCTTCACTTTGATACACTCGTATATGTCTTTTATTAATTTTTTATCGTTATTTATGTCGTGTAACCCAGGTTTTGAGTGACAGAGTCGACAATTTTTCATCACAATGTGGTCTATCATGCCCATGGTGGATTTTAATGTCTACAGTACACACGAGTGAAAATATTTACAATTTAAAGTCAAATTAACATTACCCTAAAAGTCGTTTTTATTGTTTGTTGTTATTTGGAATGTTTACTTATTTGACAAATTGCCACATAACCTTACTTTATTTGAAAATAAAAATTAGTAACCAGAAAATCACTAGTGTAACTATGTCAAGTTCGTCCAGTGGCGTACGATTTTTAAAATTCACGGGGTGCGAAAATACCGAGTAAACTACGAGAGTCAACAACAGATGTCGGACTGATACTTAGTATAAACTTGTCAAAGTTTTATTCTGTCAAATCTGGGAATTGACATAATTAAAACCAACTAAAAGATATTGGCTCAAGAAATTGAATAGAAATATCAAGCGTGATATGATAATTAAATAAATATTATAATAGTTGGTAATAGAAGTGTAAACGTAGATGCATATAATAAATATTTTTGACTTAATATAATTAGTAGCCAGCCACTCTAATAAAAGACCGGCAAAATCCTCAGTAAAGATAATTCTATTTCGCCCGTTTTCCATTACCTCGTTCGAAAAAAAACCTAAAATAAACCCGCTCGGTTTGGTATTAACATTTACTACAATAGATTTTTTTATTCCCTTTAATTAACGTCAGCGAAACGGCAGCGGATCCACGCCAAATGCAGATGACACTCATTGCATTTATTTCGAAGCACGCACAGATCACAGGACAAATTCGGTGTGCGGCGGCGGCGGCGGAGTATCCTATTAATACTCCATCATACTCTCAAACGAGCTTTTAATGCGGAACATGCATTTTTCATTTCCTAGATTCCGCGGATATCATAGCAGTGCCGTGCAGGCAAATAGAGCGGACGCGAGCTTACAATTGACAGATCCTTATTGTGCGAGCGCGGGGGCGGCGGGCGGGGGCGGCTGATTCGCCGCCGCTGCAATGTAAAAATCGCCCCCGAAGGGGTTGATGCGGCTATATTGAAATCAGAGCGAGCGATGTTTGCATGTTTCACCGCAGCCACCCCCGGCGTGTTTTTGTTCTTGGAAAGTGCTTGTTTCCTGATGGATGCCTCGCTGGCGGACTGACTACACTCGCCGGATTTTTACATTGTTAACGAGTGACTGTCAATAGCGGATTTTAGAAAAAATACACGGGAGGGTGGGCGTAAATTGGATCGATGTTTTTTCGGGGGGTGGTGAATGGTGGGATAATTATAGACGTAGTGTCGAGGATTTTTTAAGACTGTTGAGTTTTCTATGTAATGTAAATTTCGTTTACAATCGAAAATTTATTAGAGTATTATAATTAATTTTCTTTAGTGAAATATGCCTTTAACAAAAAAGGTCTAGAATTTTACGACGTTCTCTCTTACTTAAATATTTAACTGAAAGGTTTCAGGTCAATATGACATACGCAGGTTCATAATTCGTAACTTGAGGCATCAGCGGCTACAATTTTAAGCGCATCAGACCAATTTGGAATCAAGATAGACTTCAAACATTTATTTTTATAGATTTATTTATCGTTATTTAACAATTTGTTGATGATCTAGGCAACTTTTCTATTATAAAGCTCTTAGTGGTTTGCTTTTGAATTAAAGAATCGAAAATAATCTTAAAGGTTTCTAGTGTGTTATTTTTGAAATCATTGAAAGAATCTTGGGGGCTCCTTATGCTTCGTTCTTGGCTTAAAGAATTGAAAAGAATCTCGAGGGCTCTTGATGGATTATTTTTGAAAAGTTTGAAAGAGTTTCAGGGTCTCCTGGTGGTTTGTTCTTGGCTTAAAGAATCGGAAAGAATCTCTGAAGCACCTTGCGTGAAATTTTTGAAATAACTGAAAGAGACTCAAGGGTTCTTGGTGGTTCGTTCTTGGCTTAAAGAATTGGAAAGAATTTCGGGGGCTTTTGATGTGTTATTTTTGACAAACTTGGAAGAGTCTCGGGGGCTCCTAGTGGTTTGTTCTTTCCTTAAAGTAAAGAATTGGAAAGAAAATCCTGGGGGCCCTTGATGTGTCATTTTTTATATAATTGAAAGAATCTCGAGAGCCCCTAGTCGTTTGCTTTTGACTTAAAGAATCGGAAAGAATCTTGGAAGTTCCTAGTGTGTTATTTTTGAAATCATTGAAGGAATCTTGGGAGCTCCTTATGCTTCGTTCTTGGCTTAAAGAATTGAAAAGAATCTCAGGGGTTCTGGTGTTTTATTCTTGAAATAGTTTGAAAGAATGTCAGGGGCTCTTGGTGATTAGTTCTTGACTTAAAAAATTAGAAATAATCTGGAGGGCTTCTGGCGTGTTATTTTTGAAATAATTTGAAAGAATCTCGAAGACTCCTGGTGGTTCGTTCTTGGTTTAAAGAATTGCTAAGAATCTCTAGATCCGTTAAGGTGTTTTTTTTTTTTTAATTGAAACAATCTTAGTGACTTCCAGTGGTTCGTCTTTGTCTTAAAGAACTGGAAATAATCTCGGGAGCTCCTGGTGTGCTATTTTTGAAATAGTTCAAAAGAATCTCGAGAGTTTTTTCTCATTTTGACTCAATTTGAAAGAATTGTTGTGTTGTTATTTTTGAAATACTTTGAAAGAATCTCGGGGGCTCCAAGTGATTTTTTTTGACTTAAAGAATTGGAAAGAATCTCAGGGGTTCTGGTGTGTTATTCTTGAAATAGTTTGAAAGAATCTCAGGGGCTCTTGGTGATTAGTTCTTGACTTAAAAAATTGGAAAGAATCTGGAGGGTTTATGGCGTGTTATTTTTGAAATAATTTGAAAGAATCTCGAAGACTCCTGGTGTTTCGTTCTTGGTTTAAAGAATTGCTAAGAATCTCTGGACCCGTTAAGGTGTTATTTTTTTTTTAATTGAAACAATCTTAGTGACTTCCAGTGGTTCGTCTTTGTCTTAAAGAACTGGAAATAATCTCGGGAGCTCCTGGTAAGCTATTTTTGAAATAGTTCGAAAGAATCTTGAGAGTTTTTTTCTCATTTTGACTCAATTTGAAAGAATTGTTGTGTTGTTATTTTTGAAATACTTTGAAAGAATCTCGGGGGCTCCAAGTGATTTTTTTTTGACTTAAAGAATTGGAAAGAATCTCAGGGGTTCTGGTGTGTTATTCTTGAAATAGTTTGAAAGAATCTCAGGGGCTCTTGGTGATTAGTTTTTGACTTAAAAAATTGGAAAGAATCTGGAGGGCTTCTGGCGTGTTATTTTTGAAATAATTTGAAAGAATCTCGAAAACTCCAGGTGTTTCGTTCTTGGTTTAAAGAATTGCTAAGAATCTCTGGACCCGTTAAGGTGTTATTTTTTTTTAATTGAAACAATCTTAGTGACTTCCAGTGGTTCGTCTTTGTCTTAAAGAACTGGAAATAATCTCGGGAGCTAATGGTATGCTATTTTTGAAATAGTTCGAAAGAATCTTGAGAGTTTTTTTCTCATTTTGACTCAATTTGAAAGAATTGTTGTGTTGTTATTTTTGAAATACTTTGAAAGAATTTCGCGGGCTCCAAGTGATTTTTTTTGACTTAAAGAATTGGAAAGAATCTTAGGGGTTCCTGGTGTGTCATTCTTGAAATAATTTGAAAGAATCTCGGGGGCTCTTGGTGATTAGTTCTTGGCTTAAAGAATTGGAAACAATCTGGGGGGCTTCTGGCGTGTTATTTTTGAAATAATTTGAAAGAATCTCGGAGGCTCCTAGTAGTTCTTTCTTGTCTTAAAGAAATGGAAAGATTTTCGAAGGCTCCCAGTGGTTTATTCTTGGCTTAACGAATTGGAAAGAATCTCGGGGGCCCTTGGTGGGTTATTTCTGAAATAATATGAACGAATCTCGAGGACTCCTGGTGGATCGTTCTTGGTTTAATCAATTGGAAAGAATCTCAGGACCCGTTGAGGTGTTATTTTTTTAAAAATTGAAACAATCTTAAGGACTTCGAGTGTTTCGTCTTTGTCTTAAAGAACTGGAGATAATCTCGGGAGCTCCTGCTGTTCTATTTCTGAAATAGTGGTTCGTTCTTGACTGAAAGAAGTGGAAAGAATCCGGGAACTGCTGGTGATTTGTTCTCGGCTTAAACAACCGAAAAGTATCTCGGGGGCCTTTGATATGTTAATTTTGAATCAATTTGAAAGAATTGTTTTGTTGTTATTTTTGAAATGCTTTGAAAAAATCTCGGGGGCTCCTGGAGGTTCCTTCTTGGCATGAAGAATAAAAAAAAAATCGGGAGCACTTGGTTTGTTATTTTTGAAATAATTTGAAAGAATCTCGAAGACTCCTGGTGGTTCGTTCTTGGCTTAAAGAATTGTCAAGAATCTCAGGAACTGTTGAGGTATTATTTAAAAAAAAATTCAAAGAATCTCAGGGGCTCCTGGTGTGCTATTTTTTAAATGGTTTGAAGAAATTTCGAGAATTCCTTGTGGTTCGTTTTTGACTGAAAGAAGTGGAAAGAATCCGGGAACTCCTCGTGGTTTGTTCTCGGCTTAAACAATCGAAAAGTATCTCGGGGGCCTTTGATGTGTTAATTTTGAATCAATTTGAAAGAATTGTTCTGTTGTTATTTTTGAAATGCTTTGAAAAAATGTCGGGGGCTCCTGGAGGTTCCTTCTTGGCATGAAGAATAAAAAAAAAATCGGGAGCACTTGATTTGTTATTTTTGAAATAATTTGAAAGAATCTCGAAGACTCCTGGTGGTTCGTTCTTGGCTTAAAGAATTGTCAAGAATCTCAGAAACTGTTGAGGTATTATTTTAAAAAAAATTCAAAGAATCTCAGGGGCTCCTGGTGTGCTATTTTTGAAATAGTTTGAAGAAATCTCGAGGATTCCTTGTGGTTCATGTTTGACTGAAAGGAATGGAAAGAATCCGGGAACTCCTCGTGGTTTGTTCTCGGCTTAAACAATCGAAAAGTATCTCGGGGGCCTTTGATGTATTAATTTTGAATCAATTTGAAAGAATTGTTCTGTTGTTCTTTTTGAAATGCTTTGAAAAAATCTCGGGGGCTCCTGGAGGTTCCTTTTTGGCTTGAAGAATAAAAAAAATCGGGAGCACTTGGTTTGTTATTTTTGAAATAATTGAAAGAATCTCGGGGGCACCTAGTGATTTTTTCTTGACTTACAAAATTGGAAAACATCTCGACGGTTTCTGGTGTGTTATTCCTGAAATAC